GAAAAATACGAAGGAAGTGAAGCATAAGAAACAATGTTTTATTTTTGTTTTTGTTTTTTTTGTTGTTTTCTCTCTTGTTGTTTTTTTGTTTTTTGTTTTTTCGTTTTTTTTTTTCTAAATTGTTAATTGTTAATTACTGAGATGTGAAGTAATACTGAAGTAATACAGTATATATATATAAAAAGGAAGGAAAAAAGAAAAAAAAATGGCGAGCCATCTGTTCTGTATAAGCTTAGATTATTGAAAAAAGGGGCATTAATTTATAAGACTATGTGTCTTCTTTATGCTCCTATTCAGTAATGAATGTTATTATTTTGTTGTTGTGGAGATTATTGTTGTGTCTATAATAACATCATGACTGAATAAAGACATTTGATTGATTGATTGATTGAAAACGAATATGAAAATGAAAACATACGAATAAACACTAATTCAAAATAATGGTAAATAAATAAAACTACAATAACACTGGATTACAGTAAGGAGTGTAGAGTAAAATACACACAATTTCAAAAGCACAGCCACCATCCAGCTTATTTTGCAACGAGGCCGTAAGCTATTTTACGTGAATGTGCAAGACTTCTGATTCATTAGCCACTACAGGTAAATAACTAGAACAATGACAAAGTGCAGTAAAGTAGGTGAAACTATATGCTCTACAAACCAATGTGTTTGTGATAACGATAATAAATCAAGCACCACAACAGTTTATTTTTTTAGCTAAAATAACAAACCGGATGATGCCAGAAGCTTCGTACATTCGTACATACACAAGTTACAAATTGCCTCTCCCACCACCTATATAAGTAAGACTTGAATGACAGAACCACTTACTGATGATGTGAGAGTGTGCGTGTAAGTGTTATTTATCCAAACTTTTGGAATGTCATAGCATGTAACTTCCGCTTGATATGCATTAAGCCCCCTCAATATAGTCTCATTCATAGCCAGACATTCACCCACTTAGAAAATTAGTCCCAGCTCAAAAAGGATGATTTTTAGACAGCTTTACTGACCAAACTATAAACTGCAGTAAACTCTGTCTGAATAATTAATGTAAAGTGCTTTAACAAAATACTTTATACTTCAGCTTTTAAACCCTTCAGAACACTGGCTTGCTAATTGTGGATATGCATTACTGTAAATATGCTTTTTTCGCATTTATCGCAGCTATAGTGAAAGACAAATCTTCTGCGAGCACTCAACTATTCATTTATATATATATATATATATAGTTTTCACTTTAAGACACTTACTGTATGGTATTATATCATATCAAGGAAAGGGAGTAAAACTTCATTAGGCTTCACCTTTCATTTCATAATGCAGTGCACTTCATACTATTTAATTAAAGGATCAATTCACCCAAAACTGAAAATGCTGACATTTTCTCACCCTCACAACATTCTGACTATATATTATTTGCTCTTTTTCTGTGAAACACTAAGCAAGCTGTAAGGAAGAATTTAGGCAGAATGTTTCATGGGTGCTTTTAGTCCATGACAATATACTGTAAATCACCATCCTGTTTCAGCTTCTTTGTTTCACAAAAGAAAGAAAACAATACATCTTGGAAAGAGTTTTGGGGGAACTTTTCCTTTAACATTAGTTACAAGCTGCACCATAAAGATAAATGTCTTTGTTTCTCAAGTTTATGGTGAATTATGTACAAACATACATATTCATGTCGCATTTTCTGACATCCAGGCATTCTGGATACTTGGGCAGCTCCAGTGGTTCCTGCCGCTCCAAGTCCTACCACAACATGGCCTACAACCCGTGTTCACGGTACGCCGAGAACATCCACTCCGATCCGCTCTTTCGGAAAACCATCCGGCCCATGCACAACGAGCCCGGCATAATGACGGCTCAGAGCTATGTGGGCCGCCGGGCACACACGACGCGCTACGTCATCGTGAACGAACATGAAGCTCGCAAGAAGATTGTGCGCTCCACTACACGCGTACCGAGACATTACCGACTAGCAGATGAACCAACGGAGATTGTAGAGCTGTATCCACGTAATGTAAAGTGTTACATTCCTCGGACCCCTCACCGCAGCCACCAGCCACACCTCAGTGAGGAAGAGGAGGTGGAAGAGGAAGACCCCAAGAGCAGCTCGAGGAGGGGATCGAACCGTCCACGATCACTGACAGACCTCCATCAGACCGCACGCTTCTACATTGGCGACGCGGTCAACAGTCAGTTGTCTATGGAGCAGTGTTTATATGGCAACGAAGAAGAGGATGATCATGAAGATGACTGGGTGAATGATGGCTTGCATCCTTGCTCTCAAACAAACATCCGAGGCCCAGAGTCGGCTCACAGATACGGTGAACAGTACGTCAAGCCCAAGACCAAGCATAAAGTGGAGCCGTCACTGACCGAGTCAGATTCGGCATCGCTGGCTTCTAGTAGTGACCAACAAAACAGCAGCACAGACCAGTACATCCAGGTCATTCACAACAAGGAAAAGTACCTGAAGCCCAGTGCAAAGCCGACCAAAAAGAAATTAAAGAAAAACGTTAAACTCAATGTGTCTGGCACCAATGATCTTGTGTGCTCCAATGTTTAACCTGTTTAGATCTAAAACCGAGATTATGGCTCTGTTTCAAAAACCCTAGTGAGCTGTCTACGTAGGAAGCATTTAAAGGCCTCATAGGCGCACACCAACACGAAGTCTGTTTCAAAAGGTAGGTTGCATTATTATCTTGCCTTCTATTAACTTCTATTGGCCAAATTGTATGGCCAATAGCCTTTCCCAGAATGCACTGTGAATAATGCTGCATTCCAGACAACTTGGAACTTTGAATAGAGTGCTGGAGTGATGATGTATTTTGTAGTCCTACTTAGAAGGTTGCATCATCCTGGTTCCCCAAACGAAACCCGTTCGGCTTTTGGATTATCATAGAAAATTTATGTTTATTATTCTTACACATTTTTCATTATGATAGTCCTCACAAATGAACATTAGCTTTTTACTTCTAGCGATTGTATTTCTTGGCTTTAAAATTCATAAACTTAGAGTTACGCTATAAACAAACTACGCCACAGTGGCATGAATGTCACCAACATTAAGCTTCCGACAAATTTCCAACAATTTCCTATGAAAGTTTGTTATAATAGTTTGGAAGTGTTCAATTACAAACACAAGGCTATAGAAGTGGTTAAGTGAGAAAATGAGTTTACCTGTTTGGTATGATGACGACAACCTCTGTCGTCCAACTTAGCCACTTGTTAGCAACCGCCCTTTTCAAAACAAGTAAAAGCTTTAAAGAATCACAAGTGGGTCGTACTTTATGCATTTTATGTTGTAGAATAAAACATGAAAACATCTTAATTTCATTTCAGGCAATTAACCAAAAACCCATTGACTGGAAAAGGAAGAGCAAAAAAATAATAATAATAATAAGTGGGTTTTGGCCTACAAAAATGTCATCCCTGAATTACTTAAATCTCGACTTGATATTAACTACTGGAACTTTGCTTGCACTAATTCAGAGCTGATCGATCAACCCTCAACTACTTTGAGAAGCATTGTTTCCAAGATACCAGAAACTTAAGTGATGTTCCACTGGTTATTTTAAGTGGAGGTGAGTGAATTCTGAGTTGTCTGGAACACAGTATGACTAAAAAATGTTTGCAAATGGTAAACTCAAACTGTCTGAAACACCACAAATCCATCCAAGGTGATGTATGAAGTTGAGATAAATTACTACTATAAATTATTGTGCATTTCATTACATTCTAAAAATAATGCTAAAAAGGTTAGCTAATTAAAAATGGACTGTTTTACATCATTTTGAACTTGATGTAAGTATTGCACCATTAGCTTAGCAACATGCAGTTGCTGCCTACATAGAATAGGGCTTTCCATATCAGTCATTTATGAGGTTCCAGTGTAGTTTAGATCCCTCATTGCTAGGCAGCTGCTTATGTAGGTAGCCCACAGCAAGGGAGCTTACTAGGTTTTGAAACATTCAATAATTCAGTGTAATACCTGCAGGTTCATCCTATAAAAGTTGCTGTTGGCCTTGTAAAGTAAAGCACAAATAAACGACCAAACTGTATAAGTGTACTTCGCATGTATCTGTAGATTTTCATTAAATCTGATATTAAAATTATATTGTTTGGACATTTTTGGACTCCACTATCCTATTCAAGGCTGTAACCATGTATTCAAGATCGGGTGTGTACTAAATGAAAACATCAGTCAATGGAAAACCCTTATTGAACACTTTCCCCCTCAATCTCTGAGGGTTGTGGCCTTGATACAAATGAAGCACCTCTAAAGCACTTATGGTTACCTCAATACTTTGAATATCAATATTCAGATTAAGAGGTTGCGTGTACGAGTTTTTCAATTGCCAGTTTATAAAATGATTACATTTTATAAACTATTTTTATGTACAATCCTGAATATCTGGTTACAGTCTTGAAATAAAGTAGGATATGTGCAAAAAAATCATAGCATCACATCAATCCATATTTGCGTCCACTCCAGGAGGGTTATGAATATGCTTGTGTTGTAATATAAGGAAGTACTTCCAGAAGGACAATGAAACTCTTTCAGAAATATTTTCTCACTTTCAGGCACATGCATGAGCTAAGATGTGCTTTTCGTGATCAATGGCATTTTCAAAATTATTTCAGATGCGTTTGTCAACAAAGTTCATTTTTTAGCCACCTTTCGGAGTAGCCTATTGATATTCTGACTCTATTAAAGGTTATAATGCATATAATGTTTTGATATAAAATGTATCAAAATCATTGGTAAAACTTCACTCTATATTTGTTATGGTTCAGAATGAAAAAAAAATATGTAACATCTGCTCAAACCGAAGTAGTGTGATTGTTTAAAATTGTCTCACATTCACTCAAATATTTATAATATTTTAAGAAGTATTATTTAAACGGCGAGTCGCGTGGCAATAGGGACATTACTGTTCTGTATAACAGGATCGACAGAGAAAACTCCAGTTCCCAGAATGCAACATTTGTCTGACGATCTCCAGGACTAAGGAAGTGGCCTTTTTAAAATGATGATGATTTCGTGGCATTAGACGGGTTAATTGTATCTCTTTTTATTATTTTGATCGCGCATGTGTAATTGAAGCGTTCCTTTCATCTCTATAGAACTGTATCGATTATTATCCGTCGCCGCCGTTCAATCAAGATGACAGTCACCCTTATCATTTGATGAAACTAATGAATGAACTGAAAACATCTGTATGTTATACCAGAAACTGCCGGATTTAACTGTAGCCACTGTTAGTTTATGAATATTGAATGTACTTGAACAAAGATCTCGGAAGAATCGAAGGTAAAGTGTGTCATTTACGCTATACAGTAGAAGGTTGCTGCCGGTCGATCGCGAACGCTTTGGATACATGTGCTGTTAAAGGACAAGCCAATACAATATCAAATAAAACTATACACTGTCCATCGTCATGGATTATATGCACACGGCCAGATCAGTGGAGGATCGTCTTATGGGCTACAAAAAAGACGAGTCCGGATGGAAAACATGCAAGAAAACTGTAAGTATGAAGCAGAAGTGTCTTTTTTTCCATGTTTAGCGGTGGTTTATCTTTAAACACTGTTGTTGTTTTTTTGTTTTTTCTAGAATGATGTTGTGGTGTGTTGGAGACCCTCTTGTGAATTCGCGGGATATGTGTAAGTATAAAATATTGTGCATTACACGATCTTGTATATTTGTCATCGTGACGTCATATGTGCTGACTGCTCGTGTTCTAGTTAGTGGCAACCCTGTTACATATTATATTGTGCACTCACTAAATTGGACGTAATTTAGTCTGAGAATGAGATCGATGCACATGCTATAAGGGATTTAAAAATAATCCTAAAGAGTTTCGACGTTTATCATGTTGAATATGCATTGCTCAGATCTCAGAGAGTATTTCACTTGACAAATATTTACTTAATATAATCACTAGATTATAGTCTTCTATTAGGGTCATATAACTTCTTGGATTTGTAGAAAATGAAACATGTTTCCTGAAGGAATAGAAGATTTGATTGTGGCCTTGATGATTTTGGTATGTTCTCAAAATTAAATGTTTTGTAATATTTGCAATGATTCCTTTGTAGCCCTCAAATCGTATTCACTTTATAGCCCTTAATCCTGTAATTGTGGACAAATGTGGGCACAGAGGACCCTAATTTTTATTTATTGTAAATGTTATATCACTGTCTTCGATAAAGTTTTGTCTATCCATTTATGGTGTTTTTTATTTATTTTAGGGGTATTTTTGAATTTATTTACTTCAAAAATACCATATTTTCTATGTAAATATGTTTTATTTATTTATTTGTTTACTACATTAAAATATCATTCCAATACATTCTTAAAGCTAAAACCTAAAGATGAAGTGACTTTGCTGTTACCTAATGTCTTATTTTGGCTTATTTTAGAATGCTCTAAATTAGTTTTTCCCATTGATTTCTATGGGTGCCCATTTTTGACCCAATTACAAGAGGGAGTCAAAAAAAATGTGTTTGTGTTCAGGAGGTAAACTTAGGAAAAGTAAGTCTTGTACCGAACAGATCAAGGGAAGTATTTTTTTAAAAAATAAATCAAAACTATTTTGCCCACATTTGTCCAGAATATGGTTTTAGGGTTAAAATAAATAAATAGTTAAATGATGTAAACTGTTTTGAATTTATCAACAAAAGCTTTACTTGTCTTTCATTGCTGTTCTTCAATTCCCACGAAAGTGAAACATTAGGTTCCCCAGAATTTCATTTTAGGTTTGTCCCCTTCTCAGAAACCTTCCCATCAATTGCACTAGTGTAGACATTTTTTATTTTTGTTAAAAGAATTGCTGTAATGTCCATAATATCACAACATCAAAAACATTGTTGTGCAGTCTTAAAAAAATGTACATTTGTTGGTAAAATCTGTATTTAAAAAAAACATGTATTTGTTTTTGCATTTATCTATATTTACATCATAATCTTAATATTTTAAGATATCTTTTTGCTGCATTCACACACTGTCGACATCATGTGCAAACATGACAGCAGTGACATTAACCTTTGTCCAGTATGCATGAGCAGTGATTGTGTGTTCTCTGGTTTTCTCAGGTATAAAGGGGAGGGGATTGTCAATGGCAGTCCAGAGAAAGTGTGGGACTGCTTGAAACCTGAAATCAATGGACTTCGTGTAAAATGGGATTCTAATATAAAAAAGTTTGAGCTGCTTGAGCAGGTGTCAGCGGTAAGATCAACACAAATACACTCATATATGAAATCAGATTATTGAGTTAAATCTCATGGTTGACCAGTTCCTCCTTTCAGCTAAGTGTAACATTGTTTTATTTCTGTATTCTTACTTGGATCGTTAAAGGTGATGCTTGTACTTTTTTATGTTAAAACACTTTCAACGGTTCTATGACGCTTTCAAAACATGGAGTTTACAAACCAGCCCGAAAGTAACATTGGCTCAACCAATGGCGTGAGTTTGGAGATCAATGTCTGGGATACCTGTTTGAAAACAGTAATTTTTCGTTCTGACCCTAGTGAAACTTCACCTTTAATAAGCCTTATTTCTACTTTCCATTGAGATATTTTTTGATGCACATGGCATTGCAATGATTTGATGCGTACAACGGCAGATTGATACCTTTCCAAATCTTTTCTTTTTCATTGCCTAGGACGTTTTAATCTGCCGAACCGTCACGCCTTCGGCTGCTATGGGCATTATATCACCTCGAGATTTTGTTGATGTCATTTCCATTAAACGCTATGAGGATGGCACAGTGTCCTCAAACGGTATGCAGTGTTCTGGCCTTCCTCCTTTAATTGGATTTGACTCTGACACTATTCTCATGCAGAATTTCAAAAAAATTTCCATTGACATAAGACTTTGTATCTATCTTAATAAAACTGTTATTGAAAATCAGATTTTCATTGTTTTATAGCTACCAATGTAAGCCATCCAAACTGTCCTCCTCAACCCGGCTATGTCAGAGGCTTCAACCACCCGTGTGGTTGTTTATGTGCTCCAGTTCCTGGGTAAGTTTCTCGGAAAGATAGGCATGCCATTCAATGCAAGCATCTTGGGTTGATGTTATTCAACTACAAGACAGCAGATGGTGACAAAATGACATTTCAAATTTTTCAGGAGCGTAAAAAAAAGATTAAGTATACCTTTTTTTTTCTCTCTGTAGGGAACCAGGCAAAACGCAGCTGTTCAGCTTTTTCCAGACTGATCTTGGAGGTTTACTTCCTCGTTCAGTTGTCGATTCGTTTTTCCCCACCAGTATGGTGGAGTTTTACAGCAACCTGACCAAAGCTGTAAAATCGATGAAATAGCTCCAGACACTTTATAGAAAATATCCCCCTTTAATCATATATGTGGATATTTTGATAATTTGACACACCTTGCATTTAATCAAGCTTTAGGTGGGAAGTGAAATGAGCTTATTCCTGATTCTTCCAGCGGCTACAGTACCGTGTCCAAACACTTGAACAGTCCGTTTTATAGGTATTGAAAACAGGAACATTTTCTTTACCATGTTTTTTCATAAATTCAGAAAACTAGTGATTCAAATGAGGAACTATTGCAAAAAAAACAGACATTGACACATATGCATTTGGCAGATGCTTTTATCCAAAGTGACGTTCAATGCATTCAAATGACATTTTATATCAGTCAGTTTGTTTCAGGGGAATGGTGTGATCCTATAATGTAGCATTATTATAAATATATAATTCATAAATGGCCTAAAATAACCTAGTAAACATAGTTTCTACTAAGTTACTGATTTGTGTGTGTCGTACAAATCGAGAGACTCGACTCGCAATTGATTTTAATAAAGCTTACCATTGACATGTGCAGTCACATGCAGCGCTGCTTTAGATTGAGCTATCTTAGAAGGCAACGTTGGGTCGCTGCTTACTTTTTGAAACTGTTGTCAGGAGCTCGCCTTTAATGTCTGGCCTAAATAGGCAGTTCACTAGTTTTTGGAACAAAGCCTTCTTTTAATAAGCTGTTTTTAGAATTTCAGTCCAATATTTGATGTCAGTTGTCTGAGTTTGAAGATTGCATTTTTATTTGAATAATTGAATTTGACATTTAAATCACAAGTCTGAAACCTAGTATTTCTATATTTGAATAGTGATTTTATTGCACATAACTGGAATTTTGCCATCCAATGTTTACCGACAGACGAGTATCTTCAGAAATTTGAAGATTTGCATTTGCTGCTGTTCTCGGTTAGCATAACTGAGATTGTGTACTGTATGTTTGAGATTGACACAAGAAGGGCCGAATGAGGGATGTTGTGATATGATGATAAAAAAAGCAACGCAAAGGCTCAAGGTTTAGTTGGTTAGCGTGACCCCATTAGTTCCCGCTGGTGATTCTGTAACCAGTAAAAAGTGTTTTTCTCCATTGATGGCCACTCAATAGTATCCGTGTTCTGTGCCAGCCAGCCGAGCAACTGCCATTAAGACAATTGGGATAAGCTAATGGATGAAAGTTATTTCATACATCACTTTGAAAGAAACAAATAATACATTTATGGAATATGGTTCAGTGGAATCAGAGTAATTAAAAATTAATGCAATTCCAAAAGATTTCCTGAGTTTGAAATGAGGTAGAGAACAAGATGCACAGTTCTAATTCGAATTCATGGAAGTTGACAATTACCTGAATAAAATGTAATATAAGCGTTATATATAGGGCTGGGTATCAAGTTCAATACTTTTACAAGCCGACGACCGAATTGTCTCTACCATCAAGCATCTTGACGACAAGTCTTGTCATTGGGTACCAAATTTCGATACCTAAGTGGTTAATCTCGTCAACGTCAGTGAGCCAATTGTCTGTGGCGAGGAAATTACATTTTTTCTAATTTCAGAAGCTGTTTCACTCGGATATACTCGGATATACAAAATGACAATCTCTTCCGTTTCACGCCGACTTTAAGAGCAGAAAGTCGCTTCGTCTTCGACTACAAGATGAACTGAAGGGCGTTACATAAATGAACCGAAACTCTGCATATAGGCTACATGCCTCACAGACATGAGAAATAGGCATGTAGAAAGCTTGAAATGTATACTTTTAAACTAACCAATTTGAATCTAAAACAAATAATCTCTGATTATGTAATCCAAATGAAAGGTGCATTTCTCTCTATAGGCACACGCATGTTCACTATGCTGCGGAGATGACGAGTCGGAAACGTCAACTTCATCTTTGCAGCCAACACTGACTCAGAAAACACTCGTTTATTAATAAACAATTGAATTGGTTTTTTTTTTCAGACACATTCATAATCATTAGGCTACTTTTGCCAGTGCTTTGCGGCAAGCTTCAGCGCGTGTGCTTGAGCGCGAGGGATATATTCCGCCCCCCAGTGGCCTATATGAGTTTGAGTCTGTTAAAAACAGTAAACAATCTTGTTAAAATGGATTTTTAAAAAATAGGTGTCGAAATCAAGGTATCTGTATCTACAGTAGTCAACATTTGAAGTGGATCAAAAAAGTCCATCAACAAGTTGTCCTAAGACAAGAACGGGTATTGGTCAAAATTCATGTATAACTTTGATGAAAGGTTTTGATACACTTCAGATGTTGACTATTGTATATCGAAGAACAAATAACAATACCAAGCCCTATATATATATTATATGTATGAATGCATGTAAAAGAATACATATTTAATAAATTAGCTGTAATAACAATATTAATTTACTGTACACATTTGATTGAACTTCCTAGAATGCTCTCATTTTCCCCAAAGTCTACATTTTGTCGTGTTAGATTAATGAATTGTTCTGTTGTTTGATTGTGTTAAATGTCTTTGAATGTCAATCACTTCTTGTCATTTGAATTCAAATTTAAATGTATTCTTTTAAATCATGTGGGCTATGGCCATAAGTCGAAAGGGAGTTGATTCTTAAATTCAGGATTTTGCCCAAGCCTTATTAAAACATTCCAAAAAACCATGGAAGAAAAATATTTGTTTCCCCCATATTAGGAGAAATGAATCCCTTTGCATTTTTGCTTGTAATCTGTCTAAATTGCACATGGACAAAAGTACTGTTTAATGCTATGTATGTCACAGACCTCAGAGAGAACAGAGAGTGTATTGTATGTCTTGTTTGTTGACTATTATCTCTTTAATTACCGTTTGCCCGTTTTGTGTCCAGCTGCACGATTGTCCATCCTCCTGACATACGTCTTAGCCAATCCGTACTTTGTGTTTTTATGCCTATATGCCATCAGTGAAATGACTGTGAACGCATGCTCATGGCCTGGAGATGTGTTCTGTGCTTCTTTTTATTTTTATTTGCTGTAAATGAGCAAAATTCTCTAGTGCATTTTAAGATTATTTTGGGGACACATCTGTTTTGCAACGTGCTTGCCTTCAGTAGTATTGTGCAAAGTTCTCTATATATTTTAAAGGGGTCATAAGATGCTATTTATGTTTTCCGTTTTCTTAAGCGTGCTATGTAGCTGTTTTATGTGCATGTATAAGTTACAAAAGTCTTCCACAAAAAGATTTATTCAATCTAAAAGAGAAGGCAGAACCTAGATAAGGCCGGATTCACATATAGCGCCTAAAACGCGTAGAAAACGCTGGGCGCGCCGCATTCTCCATTTTGCAAAGCGCCAGGGCGGTTGCGCTTCAGTTGGTTCTTGTCACATGACCTATTGTGTGCGTATGGTGCGCGTTGAGATGTTTTTATCTCGACGCGCATGGTAAAAACGAGCGCGCCGCACCGCTTCCATTATGAGCGCGCATACCGTGCGCCTACATTTGAAATAACGAACTTGAGCGCGCAAAAGACGCGATATGTGAACCGGCCCTAAAATGGCTCGACCGGATTCTCCCTCACATTTGCATAACGCCGCCGTCTCATGGGGAGATGCTGTTTGTTTCAATGCGAAAGTTGGATTCAAATTTATTTACAACACTGTTCCAGAACAATACTACCCAAAATGCTTGTGTGTGTGCAGTGGGAGAACAAGGTTATACTGAAAAGGAAGAGTTTCAAACTAAAAACATTCTGCTGAAGTCACGCTTACAAAGTTGGTTCCGCTTGGTCTTCTGCGTTTTCAGAATCCGACTGATGATATGGTTAAACTGACAACATTATTATTCAGTTATAATTGCTTTGGAAGCTGAAGTTTGCGATTGTGGTAAGGGCTGTTACAATGCACTGGATCAGCTGGCCAATCAGAGTACACTGCGCTTTTCAGTAGGAGGAGTTTTGTAGAATTCCACGCGTTTTAGAAAGCAAAGAGGAGACACAATAATGTACAGTATGAGAAAAATAAGCATGTTTACACATATTACACCAATACACTAAATAATGATCTTTGAAAATCGCATCATATGACCCCTTTAATAAAACGCAGATTTACATTCTGTTATCAGTAGGGTTGGGTATCGAGAATCGAGTATCGATTGGAACCGAGACTAACTTTTCGTTTTTCCCGGAATCGTTCAAAAGTTAAAATTTCGATTCCTAGTTTCGATATTCACAGTCCGCCGAGCGGAAGAAGAAACCGCTGAACAACACCAATGAAGAAGCGTCTACCGGAAGTGTTGGCATAACCACGCAAGTCGAACATGAGTACCTTACGTCGGCGATCCAAAGTGTGGCTTCACTTTTCTAAAAATAACGAAATCTCGGCAAAATGCAAAATTTGTGACAAAAGGAGTATTTTTACAGAAGGAGTATTTCCTTCAGAAAGGCCGTTGGTTAGCAAGGTTAGCTAAACTTTTTTGACCCTGCCTCTTAAAAGAATCGGAATCGAGAATCGTTAGGAACCGGAATCGAAACAAGGAATCGGAATCAGAATCGTTCAAATTCAAACGATACCCAACACTAGTTATCAGTGTGTAATGTTTGTCAATTCGCTCCGGGTTTTTTCATTTTGAAGTCGACATGGAATGTTGTCGGCAAACCATTTTACTTCTGTGTAAACTGACATACAAGTGTTTTTAATATTACATTTTGATTGGAGGCAATTGATTTTTATCTATTTGGAATTGATTGGAATGGATCGTGAAAAGTGGGGGGTACAAACAAGAATGCTGGCAGATAATTGTCATTTTAGAGGCGGGGCAAGTTTTTGTCAAGTTTTTTTTTGGTCACACTTTAGTTTAGGGTCCAATTCTTACTATTAACTACAACTTTTGCCTCAATAAACTCTTATTTTCTGCTTATTAATGGTTGGCAAAGTAGTATGAAATTGGGTAGGATTAAGGGATTTTGAATATGCTCATGCAGAATAAGGCATAAATGTGTGCTCATTAAGTAATAATAAACAGCCAATATACTAGTAATATACATGCAAATAAGCGACTAGTTAATAGCGAGAATTGGACGCTGAACTGTTTTTTGCTAATAACATGATGAATGATGATGAATCACGCATTATAAGACCCTGAAATATGCATTCAAATTGTGTCAATTGTCATTTCCTGTTGATTTCAAACATATTTTTGCTCAGTGTAGTTGCACAATGGGACGTCTGTGTACTGTGTGTTAATACCCAAAAAGAAATTGCACTTTGTCAAACCCATTGTTTGATTCTGTTTTTCGGATATTAAAAATGATTGATTGACCTCGTTTATGATTTGTATCATACTTTATTTGGACATTACAAACCTTACCAAGTAATTACATTTAATATTCATCTTTGTTCTGACACCATTTCAATATATTAAGGCTTTTCTTTTAAAGGGAAACCAAAAATACCTAACTAACAAGACAAAGGTGGAATCTAATAGAAGAGCATAGATTTTTTTTTTTATGTATTTATTATTTCTGCATATGATGAAAAACAAGAGTGATGTGCTGTTAGGGGCAGCGTTTGACAAAGCAAACAAATAATTATTATTAAAATTATACTTAATGCTTAGTCCATTTGTTTTCCTCTTGAAAACATTGTGCCTCGATCACTTCATGACACGTTCTTTACATTCGGCTTTGGTGAAATGATGTAGAGAAATATAATGTGATATCTGAAAGTGTATATTTACAGGCTTGTGCAAATCATTGCATCAAAACAGGACTTGACAAGAATCTTTTTTTTTTTTTTTTATGAATCCCTGATCGTGACAGTAAAACAGTACAACTCCAGCACAGCGAAGTGCTATAAGACTCTGCTCAGAAAAACAAACTTTCCTGATCACGTAGTACCACATCATGCAGTGATGCACATCATGCACGTCATACAAGATATGAAAGTCATACAACTGTCGAAATGCATATATGGAGCAATAAATGCAACTGAATGATCCTAGCAAGTTTCCCAGTCTTGGAAAACCTGGAAATATAAGGGTATTTTTAAATTGTGAAACTCATGAGAGTGGGGAGGTATGTGAAAAGTCATGTGAATATGCATGTTTCTGGCTCAAATCTAAAATACTTGATTTTTTTTTTTTAATTGCTCTCTTGTATTGCAACCTCTGCAAAAATAGACTAAACTCATTGGTCGAAACAACTGGGAAACCTGCTTTGAAGAAATTATGATTTGTCATTTTTATGCAATTGGAGGCATTTCCTCAAGGCTTGAAATAACATTTTTGCATAATTTAAAGTTGATTCAAAATTGTAGTCCAGAATGTGTTCTGTTTTTTCTTTGCTTTTGCTTTTGAATGGAGTTTTCGTTCTACTCGCATCTTTTTCTCTTAATGACGAGTGTGAACGGCCCGTCGTTCAGACCTTTGATGAATGTCCAGGCCTCAAAGCGTGTGAGACCCTGCAGAGACGAGTCCTGTATCTGCAGTACCTCGTCGCCAGACTTCAGCCCCTTTTGCTCAGCGTCACTTCCTGCCAGAGAAAACACAGTATGTACTGCATGACTTATGTTACTGATTTGCAGGTTCCATATGGCTCAGAAAAATTAAATGGATAGTTCACTTTGAAATTAATTTTTGGTATGTTTTAGCTTACCTCAAATACATCCAAGATGTAGGTGTCTTTGTTTCCGCAGTAGTTTAAATTTGGATATTTTTAGGTCAAACTGTTCGTGTCTGTCAGTCATATAATGCAGGTCTATGGTCACCACCTCAAAGAGCATGCACAGAGAAGGCCAAATTAAACATGATTTAACGACTCGTAAATGTAAGTACACATTGATGGCCTTAGACACGAAACAAGCGGTTTGTGTGAGAAAACGAACAGTATTTATATAGTTTTTACGTCTTGTAACCACAGCCACGTCCAAGTGACCGCCGGAAGTGTTGCAAAAAAAATCAACGTTGTCTGTTAATATATCGAAATCGTCTTCCATTGCGATTTCCTGTTTATATAAATATGTTTAGATCTTCACAGTGAAAGATAACGCTTCCGAAATCTCTGTGTAAACAATGAGTGACGTACACGCGCGAGAGATCACTTCCAACACTTGCGCAGCCGCAGACCGAAGCGACCTCGCCCTCAGACACAAGTGGTAAAAACGATATAAATACTGTTAATTTTCTCACACAAACCACTTGTTTCGTGTTTAGGCCATCAATGTGTACTTACATTCACGAGTCATTAAATCATGTTTAATTTGGACTTCTCTGAGCATGCTCTTTGAGGTGGTGACCATAGACCTGCATTATATGACTGACAGACAAGAACAGTTTAACCTAAAAAATATCAAAATTGTAACTACTGCGGAAACACAGACACTTACATCTTGGATGCCCTTGAGGTAAGCTAAAACATACCAAAAATTAATTTCAAAGTGAACAATCCCTTTAAAAGAAAGCGATAGAGATTCATGCAGAATAGAGACACTGTCATTCACATACCAGTGAGACTGCAGAATTCACAAGGCTATTTAACAGATTTTACCATGTCTACATCCATTTCATGATTCAGCACATTAAATGTGAATAGAATCTGCTGATTTGTCATCACGAATGTAAGATATTGGAGCAGGTTTTGCAGAAAGGTTCAGTCGTAATCTCACCTGTAAATATTCTGTTGACGGTTAGTGGTCTGTCTCCGTTAATGGAGCCTTTTCCTCCCTCAAGACTGAATCCAACTCCACCCGCGTTCTTCTCCAGCTCGATTGTTACAGCTTCACCTCCATCGTCCCCTAAGAGACATTTTAGATCATAGAATGAATGTACACATATTTTTGCATTATGTTAGTCTTTATCTATTTGGATTAATCTTCTAAATGAGTAGCAAATATTAACATGGAACATTTAGATGCATCATGAAACCCACTGAAATGTGATTTGTTTATCATTATTAGTCCGTTTTTACACCAACTGTTAATGTACACAAAAAAAGGAGAATGAAGGCCCACCAGGCGGCACAAAAAATTAAGAAGCATTTGAAAAAAATGTTTTTCCATTCAAGTCATCTAAAATACAAAAAAAAAAAAAAAAATAACTACCAAAGTTGTGCAAGAACATCAGTTGGTTAAATATGGACAGAATTAGTACATCTATGAAACATGAATTAATTTCCTTAAGTAAAATAAAAAGCCCTATTTGAACTGGTATTTTTCCATTAAGTCTTATTTTTTTGTTGTTGTTTTATTACACATCATGTAGCTTTTGTAACCTATTTCTGTTTCCCTTTATGCTCTATTAAAGGGATAGTTCACCCAAAAATGCATAATTTTCTCACCCTCAAGTTGTTCCAAACCTGTTTGAGTTTCTTTCTTCAGCTGAACCCAAAGGAAGATATTTTAAAGAATGTGAGTAACCAAACACTTTTTTTTTCCATACACAATCAACTGTTTGGATACTTACATTATTCAAACTATCTTCCTTTGAACAACAGGTTTGGAACAACTCGAGGGTAAGTAAATGATGACAGAGTTTTCATTTGTGGCTGAACTATCCCTTTCAGTGTTGACAAAAGTGTTATTGCCATCGCTGTGCTGACGTCAGTAATGTTGGCCCACCTGTGACGCTGCTTTCTGCCCCGCTGCTGCTAGACTCATTAGCGTTAGCGCTTCCCTTTCCTTCTGCTTCTTTGTTCTTGGACACCACCACCACAGCCTGCTTCATGGTGCGGGCTTGCCTGAGTATCGCCGTGGCATCGCTGTGCGTGACATTTTTTAGCGTTTGACCATTAATGGACAACACCTCATCTCCTCTTTCAATGGTGCCCTCCTGAGCTGCCAAGCCACTGGGAAACACTCTGTGAACCTGAAGGTACATATACAGTGAATACAATTATTATTTAAAATACTTTAAAATATTATTTTTCTAGTTTTAACTGAATTCGTTTTGCATTTACAGCTAAAGTGGAACCACTGGAAGCTTGGAACTGTATCCTATGGAAGCTTGAAGCAGAATACAAATAATAGGTAATTGCGACCAATCTTTAAAAAAAATAATAATAATCTCACATTGCTGACTATTGTCTCATAAATGTGAGATATAAACTAGCAATTGCGAATTATAAAGTCACAATTCTGACTTAACTCTCAATTGAAAGTTTATATCTCACAACTCTTGAGAATTTTCTCAGAATTGCGATAAAAAGTCACAATTACCTTTTTTGTTTTTTATTTTGTAGTAGAAACAAGCTACCATAGTATCCTATAAGATTACACCATTCATAAGTTTGGAAAATATGTTTTCATGTTACCAATAAGATTTTTTTCATGTTTTGAAAGAAGTTTCCTAGGTTCGTTGAGGCTGAATTTTCTTGTATAAATACAGTTTTGAAAATTTGATGCAAAGCTGAATTTTCAGTGTCACATGATCCTTCAGAAATCATTTAAAAGTAAAAGTATTAATTTATTTTAAAAAAAAATGTTTTGAATGGTATGAAACTTAATGTTCCTCTACTATGTTGCTTTTTATAAAAGTGTCTTCTACACGTGTAAATGTAATGTACCTGTAGTGTATTTCTTAAAGAAATAGTTCAAATGTGTCATCATTTACTCATCCTTGTGTCATTTTGAGCTTGTATTTTTTTTTCTTTTGCTTCTACATGTACAAGAATGTCCAAGACGCATGATAGCTTTGTGTAAAGAACCGACCCAAATAAGTCGTTTCTGTACTAAAAATCATCTCTTCTGGCAAAGATAGCAAATTTCGTGTGTAAAAATATATGAAAAACATGACATTTGAAAGCCATGCCAGGAGGGATGATTATTATCAATGATGTCAACCCTGCCACAAATGTGCCATTTTTAATTGAGCAGAAGCATGAATTAGATTTGAAGCTTTGACATTCTGCCTAAGGTCTTTTTTTGTGTTTCAGAGTCTGAATGACTAGCCTCACTACAACGTCAGCCTTTATACTTCCACTCTATTTCAGTTCACTTTCAACATGGCATCATGACTTTTGCGTAAACATACACGCCACTTTCAAGTCAAGTGGCGTGTTATCTATATGCATTTTGAGCTATCCACGTGTATGTCTACGCCGTTAAAAATGCCCGAATGATTCCGTGTGTATGTACACGCCGTTAAATGTCCGAGCGAAACGAAGCAAAATGTAGATCTACATCTGGGGAGCGAAAATTTTTTTCCTAGGATGGTATGGGGTCAGACTCATAAATGGTATTAACGCCAGTGACGGACGGTTAGGTTTAGGGACGGGTTGGGGTAGGATATTTATACGGTAATGTAACGTTAAGTCAATAAACAAGCTGAAAAGCGATTATGCGTGTTGATAGCACGCCAAAAATGGAAATACGAATTGGCGTGTCATACATTCGCCGTTTCATGAGATCAGTCTGTCACTTCTGTACTCAGTCTGAGATATCGACATGTCTCTCAGTTTTCCTCCGGCCTGAAAACAGCCGGCCAATCAACGAACAGAGGGTGGGCTGAAAGCCGTGACGTAGACGCTATGAAAAATGGCCGCGGATAAGGAGACACGTTATACAATTTGCTCTGTTGTGGAGAATATTCCCGCCATTTCCAAACTGAAGTCCGAACAAGAAAAGTGTTTGGTAGACATTTTCAATGGAGGTGATGTTGTGGCCCTACTCCCGACAGGTTTTGGTAAAAGTTTAATTTATCAAATATTACTGATTGTCAGCGAGAAACTGGGCAGGCCAAAGGCTGGCAAGGTGATAGTTGTGATTGTGTCCGCCTTGGTTGCACTCATGGAGGATCAGGTTGAGAAAGCAGCAAAACTCGGTCAGTCATGTTCACTTCGGTATTTCGCTCGATGGTTTCGTTTTCGATGCGGCTGAACTGCCGAATAACACACGCCATAACCAAACGTTTTGTGATTGGCTTACGGGCAACCAATGATTTTATACTTCAGACAAGCCACACCGTGAGAAAGAAAACACTTATCAATTATGCCATGCCAGACTCTGTATACAAAGCAAAGCGAAGCAGAGTTTGGTATTACCAGGCTACTGAACGACAGGAGTGTGTGGAAATGATGACAACATTCAATAGGCTGTGTTTCTTGTTGAAAGGTGAAGTAAATGAGCTGCGGTGTGTGTGGTTTATGGAGATTTGGAGCCGTCACTCACTGTAGTTGCTTTGTTCTCCAGATCAATACCTCCAGCAATGCTGAAACCCAAGCCAGCTCCTTCTTCTTTATGTAGAATCACAACCTGGATGCCTTCCAGTTGCTAATGGACATCAAGAAATCCAAATCAGCCTTTTTTATAGAGTATTTTGTGGTTTAAAACCCCTTTGTACCTGTAGCTGTATAGTAAGCTGAGTTTTAGTACTCAGATGCATTTAGGATAGCAGTTTTTCTAGAACATGCCAGAGAACAATCTGCATTTAAAAACATGGGTTTATCGCTTTGTAAAGAACAGCTGCCTCATTGATGGTTTCCAGGTGGGCTGGATCATGTTCCCACTCTATTACATCATGCAGTTTTGAGAGAAAGAGATTAAGATATAGCCTTCCCTTGTATGTTCCTAATATTGAATAGCACAAAATAATCTCATGAATAGTTATTTTGTCAAGCATCTGGTCTACATAGGATACAAATCTATCTTAGCAGCCATATGAATCACACGTGTCTTCAAATACAAAGCCTTAAAGGCATACCTACTGAATTTGTCTTGGGATTTGAGCCAAATATCCCAGAGCTGCATCCAAATTAGTGTATTGATGTCAGCCTCATTGCTGTTCTTCATCAATGAGGAGATGACTCTCTCATGGCTTTATGGATCAGATATGATACACACTTTAATCTCTACGGAAGTATCAGGTAATGCAGGTATTCATGTTCACCTACTGTTTTATAAAACTGTGTATTCAAACGTACTACTCCTTTTACATGCTGCTTTTTGCATACTGTATTGTAGGGAAATATATGCAAATCTGAACAGGGCACAATCTTGTTTTACCTCTCATACTATTTGATCATTAAAGGTTAATTTTAACAGTCCTGCTGTGTGACACTATTTAGGTGGATCTAACATTTGATTTGTTTCCATTGGTGTTTTGAGCTTATTTACTTAAGACAAATTACATCAAGCAACTAGCCTGGGAAAACCCAGACAACTTCCGGCAAATTTAGATTTGCTCTGAAAGTTAGTCTGGCGAAGAGCTCATTCAAGCCCATTTCCAATCCGTCGAAATCGCGGCACCAATCAGAAACGTTGGAGCGGGGTTTACACGATGATGACAGCACTGGGATTTTGAAGCAGATTTTATAGCCTACATTACAAAGATGGATGCCGCCGTCGAACATCAATCGTTCGAATCAGCTATCTAGTCTGTTTTAAGCGATTTGAACGTTTCCTTTTTGTTAAAAACCGAGCAAAGAACAACACTCGGAGATGTTTCTCCGGCGGCCGCCGCTCTGCATACGTCATCTCCTTCATCGCTCTGATTGGTTTTAGGTCTACCCGCGACGTCCGTTGGTGACGCCTGAGTTACAACTAGGGTTGGGTATCGAGAATCGAGTATCGATTGGAACCGAGACTAACTTTTCGTTTTTCCCGGAATCGTTCAAAAGTTAAAATTTCGATTCCTAGTTTCGATATTCACAGTCCGCCGAGCGGAAGAAGAAACCGCTGAACAACACCAACAAAGAAGCGTCTACCGGAAGTGTTGGCATAACCACGCGAGTCGAACATGAGTACCTTACGTCGGCGATCCAAAGTGTGGCTTCGCTTTTCTAAAAATAACGAAATCTCGGCAAAATGCAAAATTTGTGACAAAAGGAGTATTTTTACAGAAGGAGTATTTCCTTCAGAAAGGATTATTTCCTTCTGAAAGGCCATTGGTTAGCAAGGTTAGCTAAACTTTTTTGACCCTGCCTCTTAAAAGAATCGGAATCGAGAATCGTTAGGAACCGGAATCGAAACAAGGAATCGGAATCAGAATCGTTCAAATTCAAACGATACCCAACCCTAGTTACAACTGAGAATGGTCTGGTTTTAACCAGGCTATCAAGGGATATGCTAATAGTTAGCTTTAAGCTAAAACATTTTTTTCTAATAATATTTGTTTCAAATTGTATTAAAACTGTTGTGCATGCTGTTTTGATCATATAATATCAGTTAAGACACTGGAATACTTTACAAAATAATAATCTGCCACACCACAGGACAATTTAAAACAAGCGTTTTTGATTCAAGGCATTGGGTAAGTAATCCAGTCCTGAAGACTAATACAGCCATTGTTCTCTTATTTCTACAGCCAACGGAAAAAACCTGGCATGCTTTCAAGAAATTTCTGCAAAATATCAACACTTCCTCCTCTTCTGCATTTCACTCCTACAGCTCTAAAGCACATTATGTCTTAGGCATGTGAAGGTTTTGAGCGCATATCACTTTACACATTAGACACATTAGTTTAACTAATTGATCAAGGAAACGGTCATAAATGTCATAAACAGTGCAGCAAAATGCACCCCAGAGAAACACTGCAACACTGCCATGGTCAGGAAGTCACACTCTTGACTACTTGCTAGCAAGTGAGCTTTAGATAGCAAAACAGAAGAAAGCTCACTAAACTTTAAAAGCACTTTTAACATGCTGTTTCTTTTTAGAGAACTGATTGTTAATCTGTCACACCTCATACATATTCAGGTTTGCATAGCAGGATATGAAACTAATCTATGCCAGGCAATAGCCGACAGCATGTACTTTGTTGTATTGGTCCAATGATTATTAAACCAGAGCTAAACCCACCCTTAGCGTGTCTTCATCCAGATCCTTGACTTCCTGAATCATCCGCTGAATCTCCTGTTGAGGAAGGGCCGAGAGCATCGATTGGGCACAGAGGGCTGAGGCTGAAGTGAGCGGTCGTTCAGGTTTCCGTTCCTCCTCGCACTCCTCCCCTCTTTCGATGGTGCGCTCTCTCAGTTCAGCCAAGCTGTAGACCAGATATAAATGAGCTTGTTTGAAAGTGATTTAGAACAGGGGTAGCTAACCTAGCTCCTGCTCCTGAAGGACTGCCATCCTACAGAGTTTAGCTCCAACCATAATCAAACACAACTGAGCCAGCTAATAATGGTGTTCAGGATTACTTGTGTTTTGAAACTGAAGTCTGTAGAAAGGTATACCTCATGGAGTAGGGTTGGCTCAAACTCAATTTGGGACATGGCTGAGACTATGTCGGTTCAATATGACATGACTTTTGCGTAAACATACACGCCACTTTCAAGTCAAGCATTTTGAGCTATGTCTACGCCATTAATGTCCGAGTGATTCCGTGTGTATGTACACGCTGTTAAATGTCAGAGCGAAACGAAGCAAAATGTAGATATACATCTGGGGAGCGATCTTTTTTTCCTAGGATGGTAGGGGAAGACTCATAAATGCTATTAACCCCAATGTCAGTGACGGTTAGGTTTAGGGACGGGGTTGGGGTAGGTCATATATTTATATCTACAGTAATAACGTTAAGTCAACTGCGTTCATAAACACACTGAAAAGCGATAATGCGTGTTGATAGAACGGCAAAAATGGAAATACGAATTGGCGTGTCATACATACGCCATTTCATGAGATCAGTCTGGGGTGCTTTTCCCGAAAGCATCGTTAGCCAACTATGGTCGCAAGTTGGTCGCAATTTCCATTGAACTCTATTGGAAAACGACGGAACTTGCGATGCTTTCGGGAAACGCACCCCTGGTCAGTTCCAGAGTTACAACCAGCGTCAGTTGCGCTTCATAATACTCTCCTGTGGCCTCATGGGATAGTAAAGTATCCATCATATGCAAAATTCAAAATATTGCTGGAAGTAGTAGGTCACCCAGGTACTTTTGGCCTATGTTTTATTATAACTGAAAATTTGGACACTACCCCGGCTGCTTTAGAATAGCTCAGTTTGGTGTGTTTAATTATAGCTGAAGCTAAACTCTGCCAGACAGAGGCCTTCCAAGAGCAGGATTGGACTACCCTGGTCTACTACCTTAAACTTCTTCAAACTAGACTAATTTTAGGTTTCACTTGCAAATGTTGCGGTCAATTAGCTATTATCTCACCACATTTATCTTTAAACTACTTTAGGTCAAACATGCATGACGGGAAAGTTTTTTTTTTCTTTCTTACAGTGATAAGAACTAGTGTGAGAGTTTACAAGACATTAGCATGAAAGGGTTTGTTGTTTGTGACTAACTCAACTGAGCCGCATTTCCTCTTCTCATTTCATTTAAAACAGACTCCCGAATCATTCAAAACTCTGCAATGCCTTTATCGTAGAGCCAGTTCTCAACTTGAAAGAAGTTGACATTGTTGGCTTCAGTCCCAGCAAGTGATCTTATTCCTTACCATCAGCCAACAAAACACTGCATCGAGTATAATTGTACCCCAAACGCTTTCATCTTCTGAATGCATTTGTCCTACATTGTTTTTAGAGATACAGTAATATGTTTGGATAAGTTACATACCTAACAGAGAAACCCCTCTCACTGTTTTCTAGTGCTGGTGAAGGTGAGGGATTTTCGGTAGAAGAGTCTTCTTCTATTGGGTTATGAAGAGGGGATCCAGGTGGGGCGCTCCAAGGGTTCCCAATTCGAATGCAAGGGGACTGCGGCAGGGATTGCATGGATCGCATCAGAGCATTGGACACCTGGTTGCTGAAGGACAAGATTATCCCCAGACTCTCCCCTTCCAATCCGCTTGAGGTGGGGCTATCTGAAGAGGGACTGAGGGGTAGACTTCGGGTCCTCAAGCTCACCGTATGAGTTCCAGCACCTTCTGTTTTTTCTCCAAGACCCTCTTTGGAGCTGCTAGATCTTCTTGGTACGTGGCTTGACGGGGGCAAATCCTCTTCAGAAGGTTGGGGTTCTTGCTCATTCTCAGCAGCAGGTGGAAGCTCTTTTGAGTCCAGCACGGGTTCCTCAATAGGGATTGGCTTACAGGGCTCTGAATCATGAAAAGTTGATTGTTTTTCTTCCTCTGCAGGATGGGGCGCTGAAATGATATCTGAACTGAGGGAAGCTGTTTGCTCTTCTTCCTCTGGCAGTTGGGTGGTGGCTGAAATTGTTGGTGTCGACTGGCAGTTATCATTATTGTGCAAGTTGCTTGTGTTAATTTTGGTTCTCTCTGCATTGCTGTAGTCTGCAGATGAGTTTTTAGCCATTGGAGGAAGAGATGCTGTTGGGGCCAGTCGCCTGTTCGGCTTTTCGGCTCCTTCGGCACTTGAGAAAGTCTCAAACGAGCTGATCTTCTGCCTGATTGACAAATTGCCTCCTGATGAAGCAGCCCTCCGACTAATCCCAAAGGTCCTGCCAGTATCGTGGCTGCTGTTATCTGGGTGCTTCAAAGCCTCTGTTATCGGTTTCCCAGATTTAATACTCTTCATGCTTTGACGTACTCTTGCAGACTTTGGAGCCACCGGGGGCCCTTTTTTACCATTGGGAGGTTGTTCATATTTGGAGTCTGAGGTGATGTTTGTGGTTTCAGAGGCAGTGTTGTTAACTTCAGCATCTCCATTATGGTCACCCATGTTTTTGGAGCAGAATGACTGGTTCTCTGGACTTTCGGTCAGCTTTACCCAAGGGTCAAGTGGTTGATCTGTACTGACCTCCAAACGAGCCTGACGTCTCAGACTGACCCGCTTACTCGGACTACACACTTGAGATGGGGACTCTGAACCTGTAACATAATAGTTTTCACATTTATTTCCCTTTCCTTAGCTGCAGAACAGAGAAGTTCAAAGTGAGAACTAACTCACGTGCAGCCACACATCCAATAGTTGTCACAATATTTGTTCTATTTTCATTTAAAAACAGAACAGCTGTAATATAAATGTCAAAAAAAATGCTACTTTGTTTTATAAAAATATTGTTATTAGGACAGTAAAATGTACCATTACTATTACAGCTGAATTAGGTAATGAAAAGTCTCAGCATACGTTTCTTGAATATCAGATATCAGAATAATACAAAGTAAAAGTCTCTTATGAAAGTTTTGCAACCTACATGACATATCGCTATTTTTTTAGAAGGTGTATTTCTGATTAACGTACCTTTGTGATGTCTGTCCCCTCTGTGTGTTGAGTCACTTTTAGGCTCGGAGATACAGGCAGATGCTTTAGTTCTGACTTCTGCGTGTTCAACCACTTCCTGTCACAAAAACAGGAAATGACTGGCTGAGTTTAAATCTTTCAAAAAAAAAAAATTTGAAAAGGTGTAGAAATGCATTCAGTATCATTTCGTCATGCATCACTGTTGCAAACAGAAACACAGGCATGTACACAGTACACACACAAGAGCCATGCCCCATGCAAAACGCTCAAGCATTACGATTCCTGTAACAAAAAGATGCACTTTTGTGCGATAAACTTTTAGTATGAATCGCACACAAATTCATTTTCAAACTGTCATCAAACACTGACATGAACACGTCCAAAAAGAGGTAGCATGACTTTCTACGTACATTTTTAAACAGAAGCCTTGAGATCTTTCTCAAAGCCCTGTATAGACTGCAGAAAAACTAGATGCATGTGGAGAGACAATAAAAGACTGTGAGGCAATAAAATACTTTAAATATTGAGTCACTGTAAAATATATAGGTCTATTTAAGGTAGAATTTATTTATTTGTGAAGGAAATATTGATATAAAGGACATATATTTATAAAATTGTTGCAAGTGCATGTTATAGATGCTGTTAACATTAAACTATTTTATTTTAATGATCCACTGGTGTGACAAATGATGATGTGTAATATTTAGTGTAGTTTAAATATTTAGAATAAAAATACCAGCTGAATACTGCTTTTTTACATGGCTAAACCCCTGTTTTGGTACAATTTTATTTGTAGAATAAATTAAACTAAATTGTGCTAAAATAATGCATTTCTACACTGGCATTGATATCGGAAAATCTAACACTGTTGACCGGATGCACCTTTAAGAGTTTTAAAATGTCTTATTTACTTCCTGTTGCGGTCCTGATAAACATAGTCGGTTATGTCTTAAGTAAGCGTAAACAGTTGAGAAAGTAAGTTTCAGTATTAGTATATATTAGATCCGTTCATTTGGTCTTAAAGTGACAGCAGCCTAATATTCCTGCTGCTGTCTGTATTTTAATGTTAACCATAGGATAAAGAAAAAATAACTTAATGCTCTTGACTGAATAACTTTTGTAACTTTATTAAGGATTAATTAATTAGGGATGTTTAATTTATACAGTGGAGACCATACAGTTATTTTACATTTGCTTACTTTATCAAATTTCTGTACCTGAAAACTTCTGTCGGACCTACCTAAACAACCTAAAAGCACTGTTTAATTAATTTGAATTGTCGCAATCTTGTATTTTTTATGTAGCTTTTGCTTGTAATATGATTATTTGTTCTTAATTTATTACTGACTGATTACTTGTCTTTAACAATGTTTTAAATTTTATTTTAGTTAGTACCTTTAAAGCCTAGTTCACACTACGTGATTTTAAGCCCGATTTAAGCCCGATTTGCAAATCGTTGAGTCGCCGACAAGTCAGGGTGTTATCGCGTGCAAATCGCGGGCGATTAGCGGACGATTAACGCTCGCCAATCCGATAGTGTGAAAGAGCCAACAACGCATCAAAGACAGCTCGCAGACAGCTCGCAGACAGGTCACCGAGCTCAGAAAAATATCTAGCATGCTAGATATCTCGAGCAGTCGCGCGACTCAATCTCAGTGATGTCATGAGTACAGCCAATCATAGCAACGCATGGGTTGAGGACACCAGGTAAATCTTACTTTTTCTTTTTTGCATTTTTTTTTTCTCAGAGCATATCGTCGAGCAAACAGTGTGCAGCACTAGTTTCTGTCTGACGTCCATATTCGCGTGTTGTGTTCTTCTCTGCAGTTTCGCGTCATTTCTGGTTCGTTTTATTGCGTGGTTTTTCGTGACAAAACATGGTTTCTAGACCAGATAGAATCGTGTTGTTGTCAACTCGTTATTTGTTTGATTATTTTCAGGATTTAGACCGTACTATAGTACTGAAACAGCTCTCATTGAGTCACAAATGATATGCTCTTATCATCCGATCGTGGTTGTATCTCTATGTAGTGCGTTGTTAACTCGTGTGAGTTACCTCCTGTTGTGGATCAATCACGCTGTGTTGTGTGGTGTGAACAGCTAAACAACTTGAACACTCATGATTTCACTGAGAGCAAGTCATGTAGTACAAACTGCACAGTTCAGCCCGACATTTTAAAATCATGTAGTGTGAACTAGGCTTTAGCGGTGGTATATTGGAATAGAGAATTGTGTATTTTCACTGGCATCTAAAATGTTGGTGTCATTACTGCCTGTTTTTGCAAAAACAATTTAATGGCCGGTAAAAATTGTTCATGACCGGTACACTTCCTTAAATCACTGGCCATTGGCAGGTGTGGGGGAAAGAATATCTAATTAGATACTATCAATGCTTTGGTTAATTTTGACACATTTCTGTTTTTCACAGATCATGAAGAGACTTGGCACACTATAAGAAAAAATGTAATGGTATTTTTCCCTTTAAGACCCGTAACATTACAGCTATTCATATGCACAATGATGGTGCAAGATTTTCATATGCAACACTTGTGAAGAATTTGACAATAAGGCAAGTGTTGAAGTCAAGCCAATCATGTGTTGACTTACAATACTCAACTACCATTTATGGGCAATGCAACAATCTCACTGTGAAAAACGCCTATACTTGTGAATAGTCTCTTTGGCAGAGAGCAAAATAAGCAACAGTATAAATATAATCCAAAGCGTACATGTAGATAAATCCTGTATTTAATTCATTTATTAGAAATAACATCACTGACATGATATTAAATGATGTGAAACCCTACACAAGGAAGAGAAAACAAAGAAATAAACATTTTAATTGACCAAAAACGTTTTTGTTCAGTAGAATATATTGCATTTCATATATGTGTACAGTGTATAGCCATACCTGGCAATTGCTTTGAGAAGGCAGCAGATCTTCCTCTTTTACCGGAGAACCTCGACTAGAGCCGCTCGAATCAGTCAGCGCTTCCTGACTGGTGACTTCCTGTCGTCTGCAGTACCTTCGTGTCTGATTTGTTGGTCCTAGCGTAGAATTTCTCACCCCACCTGTATCCACATCTAATGTTTGTTGTCCAATGAAATTTACTGGACATTTATAGGGAATGTTATAGTCATCATCAGTGAACGAGGCTGGAGAAAATGTGTTATTGAGTGAGGTTTCACTGTTGGTTGTTAAAGAGACGTCCAAGCTCTGTACTCTGGTGACGTGCTCCGGTTGTAGAAGGGATTGAGTGGTGGCGCTGGCTGGTGTACAGCGCTGGCTCTGGCTGTAGGCGCCCTCACTGCAGGATCGGATCATGGGTTTCTGTGCTCGTCGACAGGTCAGATGGCTTCCGCTCCTGTCCAGACAGCGGATGCACTTCTGTCTGCTGTGCGAACAGGGTTCTAATCTCTTCAGACCTGAGATCAGATACAGACATGTCTAAACCAACTGCCTATCTTCTTTGCAAAAGAGTCACCATGGACAGTTCATTTTGTACAGTGTAAATAAGCGATTAAGAAGACATGGGTGCGCGTCTGAGATTTGACCCAGAGAATCATCACTATACCTTTCGAAGGCCCAGTGTGTGTATGTGTGTGTATATATATATGTATACACACCAGCTCCAGACAAACAATGACACCCAAAACTGTCCTTTTACTATTGCTAGCATTACAACAACCACATATCATGGTTCTGTGAAACATAGTAAAAAACTATGTTAGTCACATATGGAGACGAAACAATGCAACCTCGGAGTCCGTTTTCAGACCTTCCCGCTTAGGTGTCTCTAGTGCTGGAAAGTTTTTCTAATATTAAAAGCTCTTGCCTGATCATTACCCTTCTTTTTCCAGTGATATTCCTTTTGTAATGTCTCTCAGCCATCTCTCCTTCTACAGAAATTCTTCAAATCTCCCTCTTGCTTACTCTCTCTCCTCCCCCATCATGAGTGGACATGCCCCCTAATGCTGATTGGCTACAAGTGTTCGAACAGTGTTTCTTAGAAATGGCTTACTGCATCATTTGGATGTGGTTGCAATCCTTAAAGGGTTGCAAACAGATCTCAATCCCCATTGACTACCATAGTAGGATACTATGGTAGTCAATGGGGACTGAGATCTGTTTGATTAAAACATTCTTCCAAATATCTTCCTTTGTGTACAGCAGAAAAAATAAACACATAGAGGTTTGGAACAACATGAGGGTGAGTAAATACTGACAGAATTTTCATTTTTGGGTGAACTAACCCTTTAATATTAATTAGATTTCATGCTCATCCATTTGATTAATGGCCACTCACAATAACAATTTTAATGCCATTAAAGGAGTACTTTTGCTGATAATTTACTCACCCCCATATCATCCAAGATGTCCATGTCTTTCTTTCTTCAGTCGAAAAGAAATTAAGTTTTTTGATGAAAACATTCCAGGATTTTCTCCATATAATGGACTTCAATGGGAACCAAACGGTTCATGTCCAAATGAGAGTTTCAGTGCAGCTTCAAAGGGCTTTAAACGACACCAACCGATGAATAAGGGTCTGTTCTAGCGAAACGATCGCTCATTTAAAAACTAAATAAAAAAGTTTAATTTTTATATGCATAAATGCTCGCCTTGCTCTGTTCTGTGATGCGCGTTCGTGACTCTCCTGTTCAAACTTGTTCATCAAAATGAACAAATCTTTTTTCGAGTCATGACTCGAAGGGTCCTAGATAAGACCCTTATTGATCGTCTGGTTCCCACTGAAGTGCATTATAGGGAGAAAAATCCTGGAATGTTTTCATCAAAAACCTTAATTACTTTTCGACTGAAGAAAGAAAGACGTGGACATCTTGGATGACATGAGGGTGAGTAAATTATCAGCAAAAGTGAACTACTCCTTTAATAAAGAAAGTTGTGAATGTGGTAACCTTGAAATAAGTTTACGCTCTGTACAGTTACAGTTGCAATTGTTCTGTAAAATCACTATGTGAAATAGGCCTTCAGAGCAAACAAAAGATCAATAACTCACTGCTGTTACATCCATCCATACTCCACTGACTCCTGTCTCTCCTCAGTCTGCTGTGCTCCACCGCCTGAGCGATTGCATCATTGAGCTGCTGCTCAGAAACCTTCATGTACACAGAGAAATAGCCTTTAAATTTTAGCACACACTCAGACAACTTTTAACTTATGAACAATAATGTGAAGGTTTAACTGCTCATAGCCATAATGAAGTGCAAATTGTCTTGACACATGTGAGTAAATTTGGCACATGATACTCTCTTATGTTATACTCTTGAAGGGAAAGTAAACCTACTTTTGGGTCAGGGTGTCGACTGATGATGATCTGAACCGGGCCCGGGCTGCACTGACTCAGAACCGTGTACACATCGTTCAATGTCATGTTGCAAACCACGGTGTCATTGATCTCCATGATCTCATCGCCACATCTGACAAACACACACATACTACTTAGTAACAACCCAGCAACCACACACATTAGTACAACAATTCACACCGCTGCAGTTTGGTAAGTTTTAAAAACGTTCTAGAAACCACACTTATGAAAATAAAATAATTGCCATTTATGACATGATATGCAGTGTATCATTTGGTTTACCAAAAATGATCAGCACCCAACCACAGCTTTGAGTAAAATTACTTTTTTTTAGTATACATCTTAATCTTAAAGTAATACGTTTTGGAAAAAGGCCTTTACGTAGCCTCAAAACATCAAATTGACATAATCTTTTACTATATATATATATATATATAGATTTTATTTTTTATTTATTTATTGCTGCTTGATCAAATTACTTTACTAAAATGCGCTAATGCGACAGTTCTTGAATATTTTTTCACAACTTAATTTAAATAAGTCCAATCCCATAAAATTAGCTAAATTTAAGTGAACTTAATCACTTTGTATTCAGACTAAATGTATTGATTTTGGTGACATAACCAACTGGGCAATGGATCTGTATTTCCCAGCAAGCTTTATAGGATTACATTCTCTTCCAACTGATTCAGACTTGTTTTAGTCCTGTTGGTACATATCTAAACTAATTGCACAGAGCTTTCATTAATTTAGTGGTAATTAAGTTCATTGAATAATCTATTTTTGAGTGCAAATCTAATTAACTATGAAGAAATATATAACAGAAAACATTGGAGTCTCATGTCTCATAATAATGTATTTTATGTCATTGGCAAAATGACAGGTTCAAACCTTAATCGTCCATCCATGTGTGCCACTGATCCTGGCGACAGCGTGTGAATGAAGATTCCCGGGTAGCCGCCAGCTGAAGGTACACAGCACAAGCCAATGCCTAGACCTACGCCAATCTCTAGACATATTCAAGAAATACACATTAAGAAATACTCACACGTTCATTTTCTTCTCAGACTTTTTTAGTCATCATAATCAGGAACAATAAAATGGTGGCTAATAGTATTAGCTTTAATTTAGCTTAAGACAACATTTAAGTAAAGTGACTGAGGGTCTGGCCCCAGGAATGCAGTATTTAGCCCAGCTTCCAGGGATGAAAAATGGACTCGTTGGTAACACTTTCATTAGTTAAAGCTCCAGTCCGTAACTTTTTTGGGGTTAAAAATTATCCTAAATAAATTGAGCAAGTACATAACCAGCGAGTGTTCAAAACGATCTGCTTGCCTTAACTCGATTCAAAGCGGTAAGCTTGTAATAATGTTTTTAATTCCAGTGGTACTTGTGGATTTCTGCGGGAGATTCGATCATGTCTTTGCGTCATTACGTCACATCTGTACACATAAAGGAGTCGTCGCAGCTAGTAGGCTATGAGACCCCGTTTACACCTGGTATTAAAATGCGATCTGTATCCAGATAAGTTATCCGGATAATAAGTACTGATTCCATTTACACCTGGCCACATAAATGTGTTTTTGCAAAACGGATATCCGATCTTCACCTCCTGCGTTATATGCAGATTTATTGGATTGCACGCCACCAAAAGCAACAGATCTGAGCGGCATTTTATTGATCATCAGCTAATTTCCAAATCAGAAACATCAATAAGAGAGAGTGGCAACAGGCCTGGTAAGATAATTTCGTTTCTTTACTTGAAGATGTGTTAACTGCGTCTGTGACTTACTTTCACTTTTATTTGCGATGTTTGCACGTTGAATAGACGCTCAGCTGCTCATCTGCGGTGATGCGTGTCGCAATCTGACTAGGCTATAACATGACATATAGCCTATATAACACGCTCTCACTCGTTTATTTTTTAGCATTTTTGGGAGGAGTAAAATATAAATATGTGGTTTCAACAACCAGATTGTGTTTACACCTAGTAAAGATCCGGACACAATGCGAGCCAGACTACCTCCAGATGTGGTCAGGCAGATCCGATCACGATCCGATCACAACGCGTTTACACCTTGCATTAACATGCGTTTTTTATTATCCGGATAACTTATCTGGATACAGATCGCATTTTAATACCAGGTGTAAACGGGGTCTGAGTGTATTATATAAGTTTAATTATAGTTTAAGTTTAATTATATATATATAATTAAACTTATCAATTTGATCCAAAATCATTCAAACGACAATCACCAGTGACAACAGTTTCACCCGCTGTAAAATGCAAAAGACTTTGGACTGAGAGTTTGGAAAAAGAGACTGCAACCGGGCCCATGCAAAAACAAGGATACATATCTAAAGAGCTTTAAATATAGTCACGCAATGCTGACGTTGTTAACATTAACAATTTGAAAACAAAGTATAATTTGCACGGTTTGACGTGATATGATAATCGAACGTTAAATTTAATCAGCGCGATTTACTGGAATGCTTTTTTTTTCAGTTAGTTGGTCAGAATAACAAAAGTGGATGTATTTGTTCAGATTACATTTTAGGGTGAACATTCTTGTGTTGGTCATACTTCCAAAAAGAATAATCTGTGATTCTGAATGCCGGTATCCACACCGGTGCGGTGACTGACAGCTGCACACTCTCCTCAAACATTGGATTCATCCGCGCTGTGCCGTGCCGAGGCACAACCCACGTAAAGTTGATAATTCAAATGACTGCAATTGCGGATTTCGAACTGAGATGGCGACAAAGAGGGAAAAACTACGGACTGCAGCTTTAACATTAGTTAATGTATTAACTAACATGAACTTTATTATTGTTGCGGGATTTATTAATCGTTGTTAACGTTAACTGAAATCAATATTAACCAATATTAATTAATGCTGAAAAAGTCGCGTTCATTCTTACTTCATGTTAAGGTAGTTAACTTATGTTAACTAATGAACCTTATTGTAAAGTGTTACCGACTCGTTTAGTTTAAGAAAGGTCTTTAACATGTTAAAAGATCTCTGTTCTTCTAGTTCATGACCACTATAGGTCACAAGGGTCGTTGGAACCAATAGTTTTTCAGTGACCATTTCTTAGTTAAAGCATTTACTTTTCTCACTGAGAGAAACAACATGTTATCTGGATGTTTTGGGAAGAGTCTTCTGTTTATAGTTAGAGCCCGACCATATCCAACCTTGAAGAACCCTGTGTGTCGGCGTGTGTTATTATTCTTGGTTTCAGATTAAGGAACAAGTGGCATTATTGGAGATAGACTGACTTGTTTTCTTCAACATGTTGGCGCCTAGGCACAGTCTCGTGACCTCGGAGGGACACAGGGTCCCTACTTTGGAGGTGTGCTACTGCCTATCAGTCCATGTTTGGAAATTTACTATCTTTATCTATTTCTTAGCCCATCAGTATCATTCAACCCAAAGTAATGACATAGCTTAGACCTGAAGGGTATAACTGCTGTGATCTTGTCTTAAATTGACTGCACTTCTAACTCCTGGTCTTAATTAATCATCTTTAACTGTAAATTCCCTAACATTAGTAACCCAAGGATTTTAATTGGTGGTGTTAGGCACGAATGAGGCACACTTTATCTCTGGAGAAGTTTATGTACAGGGCTTAGAATGAAAGCGTTTGATTGATGTGTGACATGAAACTTCAGCAACAGCTGGCCGAAGCTCAGAATAGTGTATTAACCCAGTCTAATGATTGCAATGCAGTTTGTAACCCAGTCAGACATGTGTAAAGTAGAAATGCAGTCCACTAGCTCAAAAATGACATTTCTGTCAACATTCACTCACTTTAAAAGACTCATGTCATTCGAATGTGTGTTTTTCTTTCTTCTGTGAAATGCAAGACAAGCAATGCTGAAGAATTCACTAGCATTGTTGTGCAATTACAAATAGAGACTGAACCCAAGCTTAAAAAGATATCAGAAAAATGTAACTTGGGCATTATGTATAACTCTCCTGAAGTCATATAGTAGTTTTGAATGAGAAACTAATAACAGCTAATTTTATATTTCATAGCTTGTGCTGATAAACAAAACAATTCACTGCACTTGTACCGGTGTGTAGCCTACAACTTTGAACAATGAGATTTGGATACTCACCCTTCTGCAACATGATCCCCATCATGACTCTGTCCTGGGGTTTTGCAGAGTTATTAAGGCAGTTATAGTCTCCCAAATCAGCACTGACTCGACTTATACCGGTGCTGGAGCTCAGCGATCTGGATCTGCATAACTGAGAAACCTGTCCGTTGCTGCCCAGCATGGAGCCCACCCGCAAACTGGTCCTCACCACCAGCGTTAACAAACCCTTCTTCACTTGCTTCAAAAAAGAGAAACGAAGTTTACTGCAGGTGAAACATGATGGATTATTGATAGATCGACATATTGTCTAGGCAGATTAATCAGGTAATAGTTGGACCTTTTTAGACTTTTTGAGTAAATATTGAATACAATAAATATGTATTAATTTCCTAAGTATTACAGATATTATAGTATTCACATCAGTATTATATTACATATATGTTATATGTTGTTCTATGAGGAAGTTAAACATAATATTATGTTAAAGTACAAAAAGTACACTACTTTTTATGTTAAGTTTATAGAAAGAAATGTAAGCTATGTTGGCTTTTATAATGATTGGATTTTGGTTACTGGATACGTTTTCTTTGTACTCATATATATGAGTGTGTACGTATATGTGTATGTATGTGCACTCTCAGAAAAAAAGGTACAAAAGCTGTCACTGGGGCTGTACCTTTTCAAAAGGTACACTTTTGTACCCAAAGGCTGCATATTGGTACCTTAGTGGTACATTAGCACCTAAAATGTACATATTAGCACCTGAAATGTACTACATTTTAACATTTTAGGTGCTAATGGACATATTAACACTTAAAATGTACATAGTAGCACCTAAATGGACATAATAACGCTTAAAATGTACATATTAGCACCTAAAAGGTACTTATTAGCAACAAAAATGTACATTTTAAGACCTAAAATGTACATATTAGCTCCTGAAATGTACATATTAACACTTAAAATGTACATATTACCACCTAAAATGTACTTATTAGCACCTCAAATGTACATATTAAGACCTAAAATGTACATATTAGCTCATGAAATTGACATATTTGCACCAAAAATGCACATATTAGCACCTGAAATGTACAAAAGTTTACTTTTAGAAAAGGTACAGCCCCAGTGACAGCTTTTGTACTTTTTTTTCTGAGAGTGACCAATTACAGTTTTTACAATAGCATTTTACTTTCATTTTCTATTAAAGTCACTATTAAATCATCCATCAGTCATCAACCACATCAGTCAAATGACAAATGAAGGCATCCAGGTGAGGCTACTCACTTTAAACTTGTGTAAGGCTTCTTCATGTGTCAAGCCGTGCAGAGATTCGCCATTCAATTCCAGTATCTCGTCTCCTGTAATCCAGAAACACTAATATCGTTTTCTATCCACTTCTGGGTAATGCAGCTGTGAGTGTTGATGGGAAAGCTACATTTTGAGGTAAGTGTCTGGATAGATTACCAATTACAGACAGCATGATATTTAACTAATGAGTCCACCTTCCTGTAGTCTTCCATCAGCGGCCGCTGCACCTCCAGGGAAGATGGTCTTCACGTAAATCCCCATTGGGCCGTACATGCTGTCTCTGCCTCCTACTATACTGAATCCCAGGCCCTGGAATACCATGAGAGCGCTTTATATGGTGAGAACTCAATGCATCATACTATTTGCTGCATATCTGACTTGTGTTTGGTTACCTTGCCATGGCCCTTCATGAGCACGATGTTGGAGATGATGAATGCCTGTACACTACTGCAGGAGGGGACCAAGTGCGCTGAACTTAGAGAGCGAGATGGTCTAACCACAGCCTGCAGAGAACGGGGAGAACACTAATAATGTGGTAAGCATGTCAAAGGTCTACGTTCAGGACAAAAAAGGACAATATGAGATGTTTTCATTTCATGAAATTCTGCTTCACAGAGCAGATGTTTTCATATTGTATTTGTGTTACATGTGGCATTCCCATGACATTCATTAAAAAATAGCCACTTTGCTGATGTGGAGAGGGAAAGGACTTTGTAGAGATGCTTTGAGCACTTACTGCAACAGCCATTTATTTGATTACCAGTATAATGATGGCCTTATCAAATAAAGTGCAACAGCTGAAAGGAAATTGACCATTCACTGTTGTAGTCTCATTCAGAACTGTTCAGGCAAAACAATTCCTGAACTTAAAACACAACAGCTGCACTACTTGTGTAAGTGTTTATTTTCCCAGTGTAACCACGTTATTCACTAACCATCCCCATCCAGTATAACCAGGCACTTTGCCATATTTAAATTCATTGTAATTTTTTCAGTCCTTCAGTCACCAGATGAAGTAAATGTGTGCTGCATTCTCCACAACTTTATACCCAGAATCAGCCTGCAAAAAGAGGACTTATGCTTGGCAAATATGGATTGGCAAAAAAAGTTTGAGCTTCTTAACTTAACAAAAACATTAAATGATTAGCATTATTCAATGTATTTGGTGCAATTGTAAAAATGTTGCGATTTTGCTATATCTGTTATATCAGTTACAGTTTAAAAACATTTTTAAAAACATTTATATTTAAACTTTTATTTTTATAGTAAAAATGTATTATAATACAAATTTATCATTTATTTATATAAAATATATACTTGCAAATTTTATATTTATTTTATTACTATATTTATTTTATTATATTTACTGCAAAATAAGTACATTTTGTAGTGGATAGCGTTACCATGATATAAAATTACTTATGATGCCATATTATAAAAAATATTATAAAAAAATACTTATGCTATATATATATATATATATATATATAAATTAATTGCGATTAATTGCATCCAAAATAAAAGTCTGTGTTTACATAATATATTTCTGTGTGCTGTATATAATTATTTTGTATATATAAATACACACACATACATGTATATATTTAAGAAAATGTGTTATTCATATATAAAATATTTATATTTATATAATATAGATTATGTATTTATATATATATATATATATATATATATACAGAATTTAAGCGCAAATAATTCTTAAATATATACATGCATGCATAGGTATTTATATATACAAAATAATTATATACAACACACACAAATATATAAATACAATACAATTTTACAAATACAATATATGTAAACACAGACTTTTATTTTGGATGTGATTAACCCAAAATTAATTTTTGTACAGCCCTAATATATATATATATATATATATATATATATAACAAAAGCAGATAACAAATGTCTAAAACTTAAATTAAAATCACAGTTATTACACGCTAAGTCATATTTATCAGATCATAATGTCAAATATTTGTCGAAATGAGATTAAAAAATAAAATGATGGCTTTCAGGCCTGGTTTCACAGACAAGGCTTAGATTAATCCAGGATTAGGCCTTAGTTAAATTAGGACATTTAAGTAGCTTTTATAAACATGCCTGAGACAAAACAATGCCACTGACATATTTTAAGGTATATCAGTGCAAGTTTTAGCTTTCAGTCTGTGACTAGATTTAAGCCTTGTCGGCACTATGAGTTAAGGCTTTTTATGCCATAACTCATAAGTTAACATTATGCCTTTTTATGTTATTTTCCTTGGTGCAAAGTGGCCTTTAATCAGATTGCATGATCCGGTCAACGTCCCTCACCTGTGGAATGCTATGAGGAAATTCCAGCTGTTGAGAGAGAGACTTCCTGTTGCCGTAAAATCCTGTGGTGGCGTGGGCGTGACACGGGAACAGCTCTGGCGTCTTCATAATGATGGTATCCAAGTCTCCGATCCAGTACGGGTGAACGCCTTAAAGCACGTGGACATGTGAACTTACATAAGACGTCCTTTCGGTGTTGGATAATGAGCACAGTTAGACAACGTGAAAAGCATGTGCATGGATCAGTGTACAGTTGGGAAGCAAGAGAACATCATATGTTTACATTCAGGAGCTCAGAACATCTTCTGTTGGATGTTTTCAAGAGTTTATTAGGTTATATAATGAAAAAGGGCCGTTCTTCTGCAGTGCAGTGTTGCATGAGTGTAGTCAGAGGTCCAAAATGGGATTAGCAAGATCAAATTATACTATACAAATAAATACGGACTAGTGTTATGACTCTTGCATTATGTGAAATATCTTGTGTACATGCAGGGTTGTCTCACTGGTGGAGTTGGAGCGAGATCTTTTGCAGGACGTCTCTTGGCAGCTCTGATCCTCATCATCGCAGTTCTTGCTGTCATCGTCTGACACCTTAATAATTGGCATCTGCATACATGAACATAGTGGTAGTTTGCAAGAAAAATGTAGGATTCTACAAATCACTTCGAATCAGGGCTGGTGACGTTAAAAAGTTTGGGGCTAGAAAGACATTTTAATTTTTTGACATATTTTTAAAGCTTCTTATGGGAGTATGTAATGTATACACAACTGCAACTGTGTTTCTTATGACATTAAATATTACAATATGACTATTTCTCATATATTTTTTCACTGTAAGGCAGAAACTGGCATCCATAATATATCCATTTTAGTCATGCCACAAAAAACACAACATATATAACCCTAATGTAGTTGAAGAGGCATCACAAAACACTCTAAATTTGAGGATTTTCCATCTGAAGGGAAAAACAGGGTTTGCTTCCCACCTTCAAGTTATTGTTGTTTCCCATCACCTCCTTTTCTCCGAAACTGTAGCCAAGCTGGTCTGATTCATTGACATTAGTGGACAGAGCTCTGGTTTCACATGGAGAGAAACCCTGCAGTACAAACAACAGAAAAACATGGAACAATTCTCCTCCAAATCTGAATGGGTCATACCGAAAGCCCTGTAAGATTCTGTCTCTTCTCCCGTCCTGAATCAAATTAGTTTCTTCTGCATCTGAGATCTGCTCAGTGTCTTGAATGGATTCTGTTGGTTAAGGTCTATTTAATCACATTTGACCTGTGCATTTCAGATCTGCTCACAGAGAGGTATAGAAGAACCAAGTGTGCTTAGCTAGTTGTGTGGTGTTTGCTAAGTTAAACATTACTATTGCTTCTACTTATACTTAGGGTATGTGATGGTAACACTTTATTCCAATGGTCCACTTTAGACATTCTACCAACTCAAAGTAACTTTGTAGTTTCTAGTTAGTAACTTTCTAGTTACAAGTCAACTAACTCTCATTAGTACATTATTAGTAGACTATCTTAATATCACTTTATTTTGATGCTCCCCAACAGACATTCCACTGACTATAAGTAACTTTGCAAGTACATTTCAACTTATTTATACTAACACATGAGAGTTAGTTGACATGTAGTTGCAAAGTTACTAAGTAACTAGTTACTAGAATGTCTAAAGTGGACTTTCAATAACCTCAGTGATTTGTACAAACTCCTGTCCCTAAGTATTAAACTTTGGTTGTAACTTATCTCACAACAGTTGTGCTACACATTTAAATTATACCTCAAATCAAATAGCTTTTGGAAATGCAGTGGTCAAGATATCAAACATACGATTTCAACCACCAAGAACCCAGTTTTCTCATAAATTACTGAAAATGTCATAAAAATAGTTTCTTTGAGGACTGTTTATCTTAAGCATAACCTAAATCTCATTAGCAAAATGGTTATTTGTACAGATTAAAAAAAAAAAAATGTTTCAGACTGCTTAATTCAAAAGAGCTCCTTCATTTTTCCAAGGCAGACGGTTTCCGAATGTTTGAAGTTCACTGATTAGTTTAAGTATTTCTGTTATATGGCTAATTCAAACCATTCTCAACTTAACAGCATGCTCATTTTGTTGGCTTGAAAAATCAAACGAGAACAATAGATGTTTTGTTGAGAGGAGTAAGCTCCTGATTTTTGCATAGCAATGTCCGCCCGCTGTCAGTAGCATAGCAGAGTTTGTAGGAGTGGAGTTATTTGGGATCTCGTCTGGTCGTCTGACATTTTCAGAAAGCTTAGAATAGACATTCATCTATCCCAACCCACAGAACTGGCCTCTAATCAGATCAGAGGAATGTTTTGATGTTTCTAATGGACAATAAAGTCTTACTTCAGTACTGGTGGTTCTGCACACAGTCTTCAGCACAGGCTTTCTCTCTGGATCAGGCTCCTGTTTTCTTTGATCGTTTATAACCTGTCCGTTAAATGGGGCAAGCCTGTCTCCAAAGTAGACATAAGTGTCCCTAGAGACAACAAAGAAAATATGTGCATTAGGGCACTTGCATTTTCACTGTAATATGCATAGAGTTGTGTCACGTGTGTGTGGTGTATGTTTACATGCATGTATTTTTCATGGGAATATGCCAATAGATTAGAGGGCCCAGCAATAAGGATGGAATGATAGACTGTTTTTGAATATACTATTAATAATGATGATGTTTATTATTTGTTAGAGGTAATTACACATGGATTGGGGCTAGTTTATATATATATATATTTACAATATTATTATTGTTATTCATTTAAAAAAACTTAATTGTAACAACGCATTCTCACCCCAAGGCGTCACCTTTGACCATGCTTCAATATTTGACGTTTTAGGCGCCCTTTAGCGTCACTTACATGGCGCGATCCTACGGCGTTATCTAACTGACGCTAAAGGAAAGTGTCAGTTAGAGGACGCGGTTAGGTTTAGGTGTGGGGTGGGGGTAGGGTACACGCGATCCTAGGCCGTCATCTTACTGACGCTAAAGGGCGCCTAAAGCGTCAGATATTGAAGCATGTCCAAATGCTTCCCAAGGCGTCAGTTAAGTGACGCCTTGGGGGTGAGAATGGGCTGATTGTAAAGACTATTTTAATAATAAATATTATTCTAATGAATTATACTTAATTTGGGTTTTAATGATTCCATTTAATAATTTAATTAATTAATAATTATTATTGTTTTACTTAATTAATAACATTTACATTTTTAATAATAAATATAATTTTAATAATAAATGTTAGTTTAATGAATTATGCTTATGTTATTTAATAGTTATTTAATAGTATTTAATAGTTGAAAGTAATTTCAATACTTTGATAATAAAAACAATTATTATTATTATTTGCTAGAGCTTGACAGTATGAACAGGGGCCCTTTTTTGTACATTTTTTATTATAAAAATATTATTATTATTATTATTATAAAATAATAAAATTATATAATTATATTCCAATAATAAATACTTATTATTTTATTACAATTTTAATAATGAATTTTATTTAATGAATTATGTTTATTTAATTTTACACTTTATTTATAAATGTATGCATGCTTTGTGGGGTTTCATTAAATGGTGAACCCTTAAATTTAACTTTTAATGTACATTTTAATAATAAATATTTATTATATCTGTTGTAAATATTGCTTGTAAATAAGCTTTAATATACAATTTAACAAATCATTATCATTATTGAATTATTATTACATCTGAAAGTACTGTAAATCTTAGCAACATGTTACCAAAAATTGCAAAATGTGTCATTTTTGTCTGAAGGTTAGTGAAACTCTGAAATACTGGTCCATTTTGACCAGCAGAAAGATCTTTATTGTTGAGGCCTGTGTTTGAACAACATAAAACTGTTGAAATGAGCTGATTATTACCTGTGTAAATCCTGGCCAACAGTAGCCCCATTGTCGTTGGACTGAAGTTTGTTATCACCCACTTGTAGACCCTCCTCACGTGTGGCGACACACATTCTCCAAAAACTGCTTTCCTGTTCCAGAGGAACCATCAGAACAGTCAGACAAGGGCACTACTATTTCTTCAAATAAAAAGTCTGTTAACAACCAAAAAAAAAAAAAAAAAAAATCCATGGTTTGACAGCTGAAGTTAATGTGACCATAATAGCTGTGCTTTATTAGACCATGAACCACATCAGTGACCTTTACAGGGCCCCTCTGTAGAGAGCCTTCACAATTAACTAGATGAGTGTTAGGCTCAGGAAACCGAAATTGTCAAGTGCTTGTAATTTTAATTTTAACAAATTTTCCAAAAAGGCCGTCTTTTCAGCCGTAGATTCATTCAGGTTGGAATACCAAACTACCCTACTGTGCACCGAATGCTCGGTTTGCATGCACTCTAAAAATGCTGGGTTGTTTTAACCCAATTTTGGGTCAAATATGTACAGTACAAACCTAGCCATTATTTTGGGTTAATTTTTTAATTACATTTTTAACCCAACGTTTTTTTTTTTTTTTTTTTTTTTTTTTTTTTTTTTGTGGTGCTTTGGCAGATACAGGCTTTAACAGTTTGTGGCCTGAGAGCCTATCATGATCTGCAGCTACTCAGAACTAAGAATATGGAATAAGTGACAATAAGCATCAAGATATCAAGGGTTTGTGCATCAAGGGTTTGTGCGTATTTGACCCAAAATTGGGTTAAAACAACCCAGCATTTTTAAGAGTGTGAAATACTCAGACGATCAGTTATGAAACATTGTATACCACAATGCATTATGGCTGACTTGACCTTTCATTTTTAGTGTAAAGATTATTGCTTTGTGGACTCACAACTGAGTATCATGTCAAGTCAAGTTATCCTCAATTTTATAGTGCTTTTAACAATATAGATTGTTTCAAAGCAGCTTTATAGATATAAACATGTAATTTAAGGTAACAAGAGATTGGTTTGGTTTTATAGCGGTTCATAATACATTTTGTGGATAACACTTTACAATAGGGTCCCTTTAGTTAGTGCAAATTAATGCATATTACCTAACAATGCAAAATACATTTGTTACAGTATAATGTTTGCTGCATTAATTATAACTGTTAATTGTTAGATCATATAGGCGCGGGTCCATTAAACAATAAACAGATACAACAAGGGGTGGTGTTGGCACAGTGGATAAGACACATGCCTTTGGTGTGAGAGATCCGGGTTCGAATCCACTGTGAGACACCAATGTGTCCCTGAGCAAGACACTTAACCCCAGTTGCTCCAGAGGTGTGCGACCTCTGACATATATATAGCAATTGTAAGTCACTTTGGAGAAAAGAGTCAGCTAAATGAATAAATACAACTTATTAAGTTCATGTTAACTAATGGAACCTTATTGTAAAGTGCTACAATTTGTGTGCAACTTACTCACACCATACTCTGAATGATATTTATTTTCTGCAGTATTATTATTTTGGCATCATCTATTTCAGATTGATCTGACACCAAAATTGACAATGTTTTTTTTTTTTTTTTTTCGTTCTTGGTCAGAATAAGTTACAAAGTGCATCAACATTTGAGCCACAAGTCAAACGTCTGGCTATAGCAATCCCTTCTGAACATAGTCTATCTCCTATTCATAAAATCCCAGCAGTGCCATTACAAAGTAAATGTTGTTACAACACTTTTTATATGTTGTGCAAAGGTCACAGAGTGATTTATCAGTATGTTATGCTTTAAGACTTCACAAGAATGTCCTATGTGAGCTGTATGAGCTCTGCGTTCTGTGTCTCTCTGTATCACAACAAGCTCTCTTTTGTGCAGGAGTAATGAGTTGGGCAGAACCACAGAATCTCCCATCACACCAGCCATGTGATAATGATTCATTTCCAAGAGAGATCCCTGTGATCCCAGCCAGGCAAGCCAGAATTAACATTGGAAAACTTTTGAGAAATACTCTGACGTTCTCAGATATCATCATAATGAGACAGTCTCTAAAAGGTCTATAAGTGACAGGCTTATGAAAGATATTATTGCAGTGAAATTATTGTGCTGTGCATTTTTATCCATAGTCATTTTCTTAACAATACCCATTTTGTTTTTGTTTTAGTCAAGTCACATTTGCAGATTGTCTCAAAGCAGCTTCAGATTAATAAACGGCAAAAATAACAGTGTTAACACTTTAGAGACCGCCCGGTGAACGCATATCTTTCCCTCAATACAAAATAATACAAAATTGAGTAAAAAAAAAATGTTTTACCACTTATATTTAGTAAACGGCAGAATACATTAAACATGACAGAAAAGCTATGCATTATGCAGATTCATCTTTTGAAAAGCTCTTTCGAAAGTTTCTGGAAAATCGTTAATTTGTCCAATTAGAAAAAGACACTGTAAAAAAAAAAATATTGTTGGTTTAACTTAAAAAATTAAGTAACCTGGTTGCCTTAAAATTTTAAGTTCATTGAAATGGAAAAATTGAGTTCATACAACGAAGGAGATTGATTTAACCATTAGAAACTCAAAATATTATGTTATCTGAACTACATAAATTATTTAAGTTGATTTGACAAAAGAAAGAAATGTTGTGATTACAAATCATGAAAATATATATATATTTTTTTACAGTGGGTTTAAGTTCAGAAAATAGCGATAGAAACTTAAATGATTTAAGTTCTTCCTAAATGAGACAAAAGTTAATAGACCTTAGTCAGGTTAGACGTCATATTGAATTTAACTCGGATGAAAATGAGGCTATATAGACAATAAAGACTTTCTTCATATGAACATACTAACAACAGTCCAATCCACTAACCACACTACTTCTGTACTTTTCATTAAATATGGCGCTACCCTGATTAAGGTCTATTCTACCTGCATGTGAAAATCACATCACATGTCATCTGATGTAACCAATAGGAAAGCCCAGCTGCTGTGATGTCATCAGCAATACATACCTTGATGGAGAAGGACCTCCTAATAGTCCTTTTGGGGCCCTCTTGTCCCCTCTGAGACGCCTGGACACTGATGCTCCTCGTGATGCACTTTTCCGAACTTCCCATTGGCCCTTCCAGCGGGTCCCTGTGGTATCCCTCCTCCAGTCCAGCGTCCCAGGCCTCACAGTACCTCTCTTCTGGGCTGGAGGCGTCCTCATTGGTGCTGGAGCTACAGATGATGAGCGACCGTGACAGGATGGCCAGTTTCTTGGAGCGCAGTCCCGGTTTCCCCCTCTCCATCCTCTTGGTTCTCCTCCTGTGGTGCAGTTGCTGGTGGTGGGTGTTTCTCAGAGGCAGGATGGCCACAGAGGGAGGTTCTCTCCCAGGATGCATCACTGCTAATGGAGGGGGCCGCTCTGCAGAGGAGAGCAATTAGAAAATTCAGTTAGGAGTCCGTTCTACCATCCTTCTGTGCCCTAAGTGTTCTCAGAAATCATAGAGAGCTACAGGCACAGATAAGAGCGCTTTTCTTCTCGGCTCCATGACGGGAGGGGGGAAAAAAGAGAAAGTATTGCCCCATGACCGTGAGAGGGAATTTTTTTACTGTATGCCTTCAAAATGAAGGAAACGCACAAATGAAATGGATTGCACAGATTTAAAGGGATAGTTCATTTTGGACATTTTGAATTCATTACATCATTTAAATGTGAAACTGTCAAGTTTATCAATCCAATTTTAAAATACAATCTGATTACATAAATCAATTCAATGTACAATATCAACAAAGCATTGTAAACAAAACAAGTAATGACAAGGAAAGGGTTTGATACAGTAGCCTATAAAAAAAATTATGGAAGGTGCTAAGGAATTAATAAATATAAGATACAAAATAATAAGTAAAATCCATTATGAAGAAGAAAAACTGTAATGTATGGATAATGATGGTCTTTTTAATTTTATTAATCCAAAATTAAATATGCTGTAATTGAAGGGTGACTGTATTCCCCCAGTAATAATTGCATTTCATCCATGTATGCAAATCTCACTATACAAATATAAGCATTATTATAATCAGTAAAATAGTGAGGGGTCTAAACCTAATGGTTTTTGTTGTTTTCTTTCCTTACAGGCATGACGGGATCTGTCATGCATTATAAATGACCCCCTGCACATACATTAGGAGTCATGTGAGATGAGCTCATATTCACGCTGACATGTGGGAATATACTGTGACTGCTAGCGTCTAAATCGCAATGTACTTTCTGGATAAAGCGCTTGGTGAGAATGATGTCATAGTCACCTGGTGGTGATAGTGGGCATTACTGTGCCACAAAGAGAAGATTTCCTGTGCAAAGTTTCATGATCTCTCAGATATTCATATTTCTCTTTGTCATAGGCCTATTGAAGGCTTGTGGTCTGGGACCTTTTTAAAACCAGTGGATTGGAGCCAGAAGTTGTTTGCATTGCTCCTGTTTTTATTTACATCACAGTGTTTTGAAATGATCGGGGCAGTAAGATAGATTATGCAAAAAATATTTCACGTATGTCTTAATGTTATAGATATAAAATTCAATGCTTTAACAATCGAGCAGTATCACCTTATACAATGCTATTGTGCCACTGAGATACAACAACAGAGACACACTTTATGTTTTCTAAAATATTGTAGGCTACCATTTTACTGTTTTAAAAATCATTTTTTGATATAGCTGGACATTCAGGTTTAGTAGCTATCTTACTTGTCAAAGACTTAAAATTTGGTCTGTTTCTCTCAACACAAGATTCTTCAAAATTTCTTCTGTATTCCACAGCAAATGTTGGCCTATTGTGTATGGGTTGGAACGAAATGAGGGTGAGTAATTTTTCATTTTTGGGTGAACCATCCCTTCAACCATATTGTGAGACTAATAAATTGTCATGCACATTCTCTCCTTCACCCATCACAAATTTATTTGACATTTAATCCATATCACTTTTGCATGAATCACTTATATGGAAAGACATTACCTTCAGTCTTAGGCTACTCAGATTGCTCATGTGAGAATTAAAATATTTCCTTCCTTTGAAGTCTAGAAACATTATGACCTCCACAAATGAAACTTTATGATAGTAGCTCCCACTCTTGGCTTTTAAACACTACATTACCCAGCAGCTCCATTGTTTTCTCTGGCACAGGTCCAACTTCAAATAGCCTACTAAATGGCTCCAGCGTCCAGAAAGTTTTCTAATGTTGTGGTGCTGTTGAAGTTTGATAGGGAAATTAGTCTAAGGAGAGACCCTTGTCCAGGCTTGTTACCAGCATGGATCCTGACGCAATGAATCGTGAGGCTTTCTGTTGAGCAGCCTACAGACAGACAGCATTATGGCCGTGCTCCTGATGTAATGTTCATAAAGGGAGGCGGAATGATTTTTCACAACCCGCCTACTTCGCGTCGCGAAGAAAAGTGTATTTTTACCGACGCAGACTGAAATACATTGTATTGAGTGAGAACAAATATTTAGCGTAAATATACAAAGTAAATAGGCATATGGCCTACCTTAAAATTATCCTGCCGCCAAAGTCGTTGGAATTGTATCGTATTACATTATGTAAAATATTTTTGAGCACCTGAACCTAAACATTTCTCAATATAGAACACCGAACACGTAAAGTAACTGATTGAAGTAGGCCTACTTACTGTTAAAAATTATGTCAAGTAGGGCTTGGGTTAGGTGCTCAAATATACCAATTTAAAATAAAAATGTCCAGTTTAAAACCAGCTAATCAAATCAGTAGCCTATCTTACTTAAATGAACACACGCGTGAACAAAATTTAACCTGCAAAATTATCCCCAGATAGCAATGTGACATTTCAATGTTGAAATTCCATCAGAATCATCATTTTGGTTGAGGTTGAAAATTCAATCTTAAATAATATTGGATCAATGTTGATATTTCAATTATTTTCACTGTTGAAAAAGACAAACATTGAATCAACGTTGATTTTTGGTCAGCTTTATTTTCCACCACTGGGGAACTTGATAACATGCGTCAGACGTTTTTTCTGACGTCACGACCCACGGCGTCTTGAACTGTTTGAAAGGTAGGTTGAACTTGGAAATTTGTTTTAATCAATATTCTAGATAATGCTATGTGTGTTTTAGAGTTAGTTAACCTTGTTTATGAACATGAATAGGCCTACTAGGAGTATACAGTAGGCCTACTTGAGTCATTAACGTCAATCGATTTTTTGAATTTGCTCGACGCCTCGAGCGTTTGCGATCGGCCATAACGTTACGTTACTGAATTTTTTTTTATACAAGATGTTGCCTTTACTCGTTTATTTTCTAGTAATGTACCTATTCAGACCATGCTCTCTCTATGATCCAAATACATCAATGGAGGTATAACAGAAGCTAAAGATTGCTTTTGGATTCAGTGTAACGTTAGTGATACTATTGGCCTACGTGTGGAGGTATGGCAGCATTGAGTGCTGCACGGATGGTGTATTTTTGGAGGCAAAAATCTGGCAACATGTTAGCATTTTGGCACCATCACTTCCAACATCCCAAGTTAATGGCTTTTATGGGTTTTTTGGTTAAATGCCTGAATACAAGCACTGTGGTTAACACATGTTATAGATATTATTCTACATAAAACACATCAGTAATACCCCTTTGTGATTTTTTAAAAAGCTTTTATTTGTCTTGAAGGCTGTTTCTAACAAGTGGCTAAATGGGACTATAAAGAGGTTGTCGAGGACATTAAGTGTCACCACACCAACAGGTAAACTTATCTCACTAATCCACTTTAACAGCCTTGCAGTCTTGGCCACTTGAGAGCATGTGCTCATGAAAGGAAGTAAGTGACCACCCCTGGTCTGAAAAATGGCAAAGCACAGTACATTTAACGCACACTGATCCATACTAACTTTAATACCACTTTGGAGCAGTTTTTGAGCGTATCCCCTCATTCATTATGTTTAGGAACTTACGTGCCACGATTGTGTGTCATGTCTAGGAAAACTTTCCAGTGTAAGTTAAATTAATTAGATGTTACATATAATTTGGTCATAAAGTGTTGCACATTTTATTGGTATAGACTCCAGAGATTATATGTATTTTGTAAAACGTTTGAAATTTAAGCACCACGATCCATCAGTGTACTGTATAAGTGTGTTCCACTGAGTAAACAAAATTAAAAAAAAAAAAACTTGCACTAGTCTTCACTTGAACACTTTGGCCAAACTCCAGAAATACATCATGTATTTAGACAAGTGGTCAGATGCAAAAACCTTGAGGTATTGAATGACTTTGCAGACTTAATTTAGCTTTTTACTTCTGACGAAGGTGTTCATAGGCTTTATAATGAATAAAAGCTTCATTAAGATGATCATGATTAATAAAATGTGTTATTTGTTGGTCACAAAACCAAAAGTGAACCAGGGTGATGCAGTCACGCATAGCCAGACCTTCAGACTGATGGCAGAATGTCTAGACTCCATAACAGCTTTCATTGGCCAAGGATGCCGTCTGACCGACATGCAGCGCAACCAATCGCAGTTTGTTTTGTTCCATGTCATGTTTAGGGTCGTGAAAATGTAACAAATATCCCCTACAATAACAGACTGGTGTGTAAAACTCTTGGACGTATTTTAATGCAGCGAACTTTACATGCAGCGTTTAGTTAATCCTGTTAAGCACTCCTTTTCACAGTTGTATGACGGTGTTCTTCTTCCATGGGGGGGTTTGGCCTCACTGCATCTTTGTTTCCAGATGGACCGTTAAAGTACGCAACACACACGTCTCCCAGAAGTCCTGTAGAATTCAACCAATCAGATGAAGACTTCAAAACTCCTGAAGCGTTTCCATTTTTTTTTTTTTGTGCCATGCATATGCATCATGGTTGTGAAGTCTGAGGCTGAGAGTAGGGTGATGGTAACTTGCAGGTTGGCCTACAAACATACTGTAAGTCACACTGCTGTGTTCTATTAGCATGTATCCATTGTGGAGAAGGCAATCTTACAACAAACTCAGTGGAAAAAAATCATTCAAGATGGCCAATGAAGTGAGTGAGAGGGAAAAAAGGATGAAATAAAAATAGTTATGTATGTTATGTATCTTACCAAATCTTTGTGTTTTGCTTATGTTTGCTTATTGTTATTGAACTTATGAGTCATTTGCTTAGAAGCATGCTATATTGAAATCAGTTGTGAGTTGGGCTACTGCCTTTGTAGAGCATTCAAATAAGTCACTTGTGTATATAGGCAGTATAGTGCAAGGCAGTATGTTTGTGAAGTTAATTTTGCTTCTCTTAATAGACATCTGGATGGATCACTGTGAAGTCTGTGTAAGCATTGTGTTTGCCTGCTTTAGACTGGAGCAAAAGTAGCATATCTGCCAACATCTTTTGCAATAGGATCAGCTCTCTGGCTGATAGTCTAGCACTTTGCTTTAGATGTCTTGGACTCTTTTTTAAAACTTTTGCCAACATTTTAAGCCTAGTAAAAATGTATCTTTTGCAAGCTTCATAATTATGTTTTATAAAGTTGTGTTTGATTAGTTTCGAGCTGTGCTGTTTGATTTATCTCCCAGAAGAAGTGTGTCTGCAGTGTGTAACTAACCTAATGTTGTGCTGAAACACCGTGATTGAAAAACTAAACTCTAAAATGGGGGTAAAATGTTTGAATGACATATTCACTCTATTTTTATGTCATTTACAATGATATTTTCCAACTGTGTGCAGAATCTAATTTGCAGTTATTTCAGTGGCACAGTATAAAACTGTTTCCCACTTGAAATGTTGACTCAAACATTGATGTAATGGTGCAGAACCGTCATACTGTTTAACATTCTAAAAAAAAATAGACCAAAAGAAACACTGGTTCATGACTGTGTTTGTAAAGGATGACTTGACAGAAATAGCATTTCAATAAATAGATTACCACAAAGACTTTTTGAAGATGCGTTTGTTCCTGTCCTCCCTGATGATCAGACGGACTTTCATTAAACAGAACGAGAGCAGAATAATGCACGAATCATAATGCGACTGTTATCTCTTTGTTGAAGTAGGCTGAATCCAAAATGAGACACATGAAGGAAATTGAGCTGCGTTTGCCGATGCAAACTTGCTGCTACAATGTTAAAATGTTTCGAGTTGATGTGTGGTTGCTAGGGTGCCTAATTATTGCAAACGAACTGAAATAAGTTTAACTAATCTAGATTACAGATTTCAGTTTGTGTGTTACTCTGGTTTATTACCCCTCTCCCTTAAACACCTTTGTCACTGTTTATGTAAACAGTTCCCCGTTTAATCAAAAGCATTTGTCAAATTCTAGCAAGCAGAGCCTTTTCTAATCAAACCATTTCCATATTATGCAATGACTAAAAGCCATCCAAGCAAACCCTGCATTCAATTATCCTGAGACACAACATTCAACTTTTTTGTAATGGTAATAAATTGTAGGTTAGTCTCAGAACTGCAATATGAATCAGCGCATGTTGTTCTTCCACTGATGCATTGGGCAGATTGCATGGTTTAGCTGGGAGCCCGTTGATGGATCTGTCTCCATCCGATCTAATTAAGGCAAACATTAGCGTCTGGGGTTCAGTAAAGTATTGAACGTACAAGCTCTGTGATTCGCCACATTTTTGTGGCTCTGTCCTTGCATGCAATGCAATTTTGTCCTGCATGTGTTAGTTTGATGCCAATCACACTGCCCTAACATCTGTTTCTGAGCACTGAATCAGGTGTGGCTAAACGTCGCATGTAAGTTTCCATTGAAGAGGGATCAAACAAACACTCACCAAAGCTGAGCATTTTGGTTTCTTGCCGTGAAATGATCCGTGTGTTGCGAGTCTCGTCCTGCTAGCAGTTGTTTTGTAGAGTATTCCAGAGGGGAAGACGCTGGTCAGTTCAGCATGATAAAAGTCCACCGCTGAACAAGTTCCCCCTCTATACTCAGAAATGTCTCTCTCTCTCTCCTCGCTCTCTCTCACTTCGAGTAGTGCCAAAGGCTGTCAGTGGGTTAAGAGGAGCATTTGTAACTGCCGCCTACCCTCCCTTTCCAGCGGCCAGCTGAACACAAGTGGCGTCTCATACAACCGGCCACCAAATCACAACCCTCTTCCTGTCTGACAGTTTGGAAAGTGAGAGAGAGAGGGAGACTTTCTCCATCTGAAAGTGACCCTACACCTAGTCAGTGCGCAAGCCTTTTTTTATACTGGCCACCAGAGATGCATGAGAAGATGATTTTCTCTGACTGAATCGATGCATTCTCATAATTAGTTTATAACTGGGTTTATACTTAAAAAGATGCATTTCTGTTAACATTTACTGGTGTCATTTTAATAAACCCGCATGACTGAGGTTTTGAAGATGTTCATGCTGCTTTCTTTCATGGTGGAATTGGACAAAAGCACCTTAAAGGGAAAGTTCACCCAAAAATGAAAAATCTGCATTAATTGCTTACCCTCATGTCAATTCAAACCTGTAAGATGTTCTTTCATCTTCAGAACACAAATGAAGATCTTTTGAATGAAATCTGAGAGCTTTCTGTCCCCCCCCATTGACAGTCTATGCAATTACTGTACCACTTGGGAAGATAGTAAAGAATAGTAGAAGGTAGTAGAAAAGTAATCTGGGACTCTAGTGGTTCAACCTCAGTTTTATGAAGCGATGCGAGTGCTTACACTGTAAAATAATCATAATTTTAACAGTAAAAGACTTTAAAAATGCTACAGTGCAAAACTGTTTATTGGTAACAGAAAGTTTCCGTAATATATATGGTATATAACTGTGATATAATTTTACTGTAAAATACCGTTACATTTACAGTTTTTGAAAGTGAAAAATAACAACCCATTGTTTAATTTACAGTGAAAAACTGTGAAGTGACTTTCCCACAATTCCCTTTGTTACACTTCACATTTTATGTATTTTTGTATGTATTTGTAGTTTTATTGGTAAAAAAAAACAAGAAAACTACAATGAACCATAGTTATTTTTTTCTTTCATAGTTTTTTTTTTCTAATCAGTCATGTACATTAGGGTTTTACTTTTACATTACATTTAATGTTGTTGAATTAATGTTTATTGCATTTTTTTATTTCATCTGTGTTACCATGGTGTTAAATGTTTGTGAGAATGACACTCTGCAGCTTCTTTAAGTAAGTATTAACCCTCTTATGGAAGACCAGTTTTGATTTTGATTATGTGACTCATCACTGCTGTGATGATTGTTGATTGTCAGTGTATTACAATAGTACAAAACAGATATCAATTTGTCAAATGGTTGGTAAATCAACAGTTTATCAGAAAATGGAATACGGTTTATTATTGTAAATTTTAAGCTAAGTCTGTAAAACCATTAATGTTCCTACCGTATTTTTAACGGTAAAGTTCTGGCTACCACAGCTGCTGTTTTTACCGTACCGTTATTTTTTACAGTATATATTTATAAAAAAATATATATATTTATTCTTTTAAACTTTATCAAAGAATCCTGAAAAGACACTGTATCACTATCACGGTTTCCACATAAACAGCAAGAGCCCTACTGATTTCAGTAATACTAACAAAAAAGGTTTCTTGAAATGTTTTGGCAAATCAGCATATTAGAATGATTTCGGAATGTGACACTGAAGACTCAAGTAATGTTGCTGAAAATTGAGCTTTGCATCGCAGAAATAAATTAAATGTTCAAATATATTAAAATAAAAACAGTGTTTTTTAATTTAATAATAATATTAAATTTTTGATTGATTAAATGCAGCCTTGGTGAGCATAAG